TTTATTGAATAAATATGTAGTATATTATATAACATATGAATATTTAATGAATTTGTTGTCCACAGCAATAAAAATTACTTACTGAACCGTTTTTGACAAAACTTCCATGTGACCAATATGAAAGTATAAGATGTCAGATAAAAAAAGAACTTTCGGTTTATAATTTCAGTTTAAAAAAAATACAATTGAATTGAGAATCTCCTTCTTTTTTGAAGTCGTTTTAAAATAGACTTTTTTTGCTGTCATGTTTCTAAAAAGAAGTTATACTAACAATATCTCTTACCATATAATATAAAAATATTATGTGACCACGACAATCTAATCTCCATAAAACTTGTTTATCTTCCATGACTATGCTTCTATTTCTGTCATTTTAAATAATACCAATTTTTATTTAACTCTTTTAAATTAATGTCATTTGCAGTACTTATTAACTACCTTCATTTTACTAATTTTAATTTATGAATGATATTATTTATAATTTGAGATTTGGTCGCCATTATTCGGTAGGTTAATATCGTAATCGCCAGTAGTTTCCAGACATTCATAAAATATTTATAGAAATTTTTATTTTTTCAAACTGCACCGTAAAGAATCGGACAAGCTAAAGGGGTCCTAATGCGAAATAGTAACTATGTATACTATATATTATACATAACAGAGAATACTGTGTTTTGATATCGCCATTGAGTATGAAGTGTAAATAACGACAAAGCCTATCTGAAATATAAATAAGCTTCTGGGTTCCTTAGTCAAAGATATTTTTGCAAAAGATATTCTGAATAGTCCTGTCACATGTAATTTTGTCCCTGCTTCTCATAATAAACTCAATGTGATGCCTCAGCAAATGTTTTGTATAGTCGGCATTTGATCATGCATGGGAAACGCACAACAAATTCATTAATGTCAAAGCGTCTCTCCCTAGCAACTCGTTGGCTCTTAGTGAATGTGACGGGCATGCTGAACTGAGTCTAGACTGTAGACTAAGTACTATAGACCATGTGGAGTGAGTCAGACTGTGTCTAAATTAAAATGCGGCAACACGCTGCTGTCGGCATGCACAGTAATGGTTCATTTAGCGCATTCTTAATTGACAACTGTGGAGTACCGACTTTTTAGAACATAACTGGTAGAGATTTAAGGCAGTCGAAAGATACGAATCAGGGTACTTTTAGCGCAAACTTTTTTACCTTGCAGTTGATGAGATGCTTTTATTCTTGTGTGAATGTTGAGGAGGATTTAGACTAGAGTTTTCGATCTCTGATCTTCTATATCGATTGATCTATCCGATTTTCCTGTCTGGATTTCTTTTTTATTAGATGTCTGCATGCATCACAAAAGATCTATTGGATTTTGTTGAGATCTATTTATTGTAATGTAAATTTTCTCATGGATTGTTAAAATCGATTCAGAATAACGATGTATTTGTCCAAAATTGCAAACTCTAATTTAGACCAAAGGAGTAAATTTCCTTGCTTGGTTTTCTTTAAACGCGATAACAACATTCTTTCTTAACTTTATTGCATTCGCGATCAATCTTGGTACGTAGTTCTTGCTTTCTTTTACTATAAACTTCCTGGTTTTGTGCCAGAATTCTGTTCTAGGTCTTGTTCAATGCTGTTTATGCTTTTAATGAAATCCACATATTAAATGCTCTTCTAAGTAATTTATTTCGATGGACAGATTATCCCTCGTTAATAAATAGTAAATTCGAAGAATAGTATGCAAAAACATGAACTTGAAATGAATATTTATCTCTGTAATTATTAAGCACATTATTTTTATTGTATTGACTTCAATTGCACTGTGTTATCTTAAATGTTATTTATCAGTTTATAAATTATTTGTGCATTTGATTTAACGTCTCATTCATATTAAGGGATTTTAAACGTCTGGTAGGTATTTTAAATGTATTTCTAAGCATATTATACTATTAAAGCATACGCAGATTACAGAGAGACAGCGCTGAGAAGGACTCTGTATTTTAGTCTCTCGTATGCGTTATGCTATGCAGTTATATAATAATCTATTTAGAAGGAAAATGTGTCGCTATAAGATATCCCATATCTGTTTTAATATATGAATCATTTATCGTATAACTACTAATAGTTATATTTTAATCGGGTCTTAATCTGTTGTTGAAATGTGTTTTTTATACATCAAAAACATTTGCACATATATTGGGAAATCCTTGGTCCACACCCCATTGTCAAACTTATGATACCATCGATGATGTGCAACATATACTCTTAGAGTGTCGTATAAACTCGAAGGAAAGAGAAGAAATCATGCGCCACTTTAACTTAAATAAATTAATTATTGGTCTTATTCAATCTATATCAGCTGAACCCAAATCAGAAAATTTTTAACATTTCTGTAATCTATTGATGCCCATTAATTCCTCTCTTTCCGTGTCTAGGGAAAGTAGATAAAGTTTTATTTGAGAAATCAGTTCAGGGTACGATAGGGCTGATATACCTGAAGAAGGTAAAAGCTCTTAAAAAAAAAGCGGGAGACTTTGTACAAAAGTCGATTGCTTGGGTACCTCTGTCCCATTCGTGTTTCTACCGTGAAGCAGTTGTTTTTTTTTTTTTTATACGACTTAGAATGGCAAACAAGCTGACTGCCCACCTGATGGAAAGTGGTAACCGTCGTGTTTGTTGTGTTTGCATGGCTGTGTTTCGGTTTGAAGGGTGGGATATGGCGTGAATTTACAGGGTACAGAGGAATAACACCTGAGTCCTCAGAAATGGCAACACATGGGGGGTATCATGGGCGATACAGTATACTCTGTTATGTCCATGGTACTGCTCATGTCTATAGGCGACGGTTACTACTTTCCATCAGGTGAGCCGTCAGCTTGTGTGACATTTTAAGTTGTATAAAAAAAAAAGATGACGATTATTCCTTCAAATTCCATCACGTCTACCGCTAATATATTCGTCACTCCTGTTTACAACCACAAAACAGAGATTACTATAAAGAGGTGTGTTTGTGTGAACTCTATGAACTATACACCATAGCTATTTTCTTTCGTTAAAGAAAAAAAAAACATTAGTCGCTCCTGTTTACAACCACAAGACAGTTTGAGAATACAATAAAGGGGCGTCTGTGTGAACTGTATGAACTTGCTTCGAGGACTTATCTATTCCGTGACCCAGACTCGACATTAGGCTGTTTTTAGAATGACTCATCGGTTATACTTGCGGGTTTTTCGCTATATGACGCTAAACTCATAGTTCCAGGAACGAGTATATTTTTTCTGCATTTTCTATTATGCACACATGTTTACATCAGTTTAACTTGCTTGTTGTGGGCTTCAAGATAACGTAACGACCTTGACTTCTTATTTAATGTAAATAAAACTCTATGCACGATACGATGCACTGATATCGCACGAACACAACGAGAATGTCCATTGCAACAAGGCATCGATAGATAGCACTCATGTTAGCATTAATAAAAACAATCGGTGCAACAATCTAGTCTACGTAATAGTAGAATAAGCAATTACTTTTTTATGTACTGTGCATATTTTTATTTGATATAGCATTTGTAATGAGACGGCATATGTATCTGTATAATGTGCTAATTTTAAATTTTCATTTTTTAACTTTTTCACAACTACCCACGTCTGTGAAAATCTACTAAGTATTAAATAAACCTGTGGTTGCTTCAATTCGTTTAGTTCCATTTATAATCATCGTATTTTTATGTAAAGATTCGATGTTTAATTTTTGGTTAATAATTGGTGGTTAATAAAATATATTCTATTATATTATTAAAATCTATTTATTTCTATATTATTCAATGCAAATAAAACGTATTATCTATGTTAGTTGGATATCCTCGAAGTTTTTTTGATGGGTAAAAATGGTATGATACCCCACCTGCGCTAATGGGATACGCTGGCGGAGCACCAGTGAATGGTGATAGATGAGAACGAAAACAGGCCAGTTAACCTAACATGATGAATTCATTAGGAATTAACCATGATAGTTTCCAGGAAGAACCGCAAGGAGGTCGACCTGGTTGGGTATATTGCTAGCAATAGGATTCTCAGTCTCCATTACTAACAATCCCTTTCCCCCCAGATATACTCGAAGTTAGTACGTGATAGTAAGTTCGGTGTCAATAATTATAAGCTGTAAAAATTTAATTCGAAATATGACCTTTCTTAGTTATAATATGTGTTAGGTTGTAAATAGATAGTTAATTATATAGATGGATGATATTTTCTATTTATGTTCTATAACTATTTCAGGTAATTTTGCAATAAATATTCAGTTCAAGGCCTATGAATGTCGCCGTTTTAGACAAAATGCAATTTGTCAATAATCACTTTCACATACTGGTTTCATAACACGACGATTTGGTATTTCAGATTCTAAATTCTCAATCGCTGGCAATGGCCGCTCGAGCATGTTTCTCGAAAATTATAAATTCTGTTGTCACGAATATTTATTTCGTATTCAGAAATTTAATTTATATATTTTTTTTTTATAATACCTTTCTTCATACGACATATTCTAAGGCATTCTGGTTATTTTTTTCTTTTTAAAATAAAATTATTCTCAAATATGTATATGATTTTTTTTTTGAGGACAAGGTGATAATTTTTTAAATGAATAGAATACATCTAAAGAACTAATTTATATTTTTTGTAAGTTTCCCCATATCTCTATTGATGATTTGTTAATGTAATTAATGGAGTGAACTTTTGGGTTAAAATTTCAAATTTATAATATAAAATATCGAAATATTTTAGTGAACTACCCACTTAAATAAATAGGGCAGTTTAGAAACTAGTTAAAAAGATCTAATTTCACGACCTAGTTTAGGAAAAATGTCCTTTTCCGTAAAGTTTGTTTGGTTAAGATTAGTTTTAAGTTGTACCAAGGGTGATTTCAATTAAAATACTGTACAAATGTAACATGTATGACATAGCATCCACTATAATGGTGTCTAACTGAGAATTTTCTATTTCTTGCTTACGGAAGGCGCTGCCGGGGCCCGGATTGGTGAGTCAAAAATACAAAATGGCGGCTTTTGTGATTGTCCCGTCTTTGTAGTGTAGCCACACTAGCGGCACGCTTGCACTGGGTGTTATTTTTTTTCATTTCATCATTTTTTTTTTTATACATTAGGCCCACTGTTAAGGGCTTACAGAAATCGTTTACAGTGACTTTATTAGAGTACCGAATACCAAATGCAATTAAGACAAAGTAAATCCTATTTTTTTTTTTCAGTAACCATTCTATTGTTTATAGGCATGTATGTGCTTGCAATATCGTTCTTTGGTCACGGTATCAACAGAAAACATGATACAAACGATTTGGGTTAGATATAAATATCTTTTTGTGACAATTTTAATTAATCAGTTTCATTATATCAGTCGTTTTTGTTGAAATCAATTAGTTATGAATTGCAAGTTTGCTCAGCATACTAACGCATCACAATAGCGCTTGTACACGATTTTATATCTTATGTCTCTAACATTACGGTTTATTATTGACTGCAATAGCGGTACCTAAGTTTGTCAGTAACTTTTATTAGTATTTTTTTAATAAATTTCACAGATAAATAGATGAAATTGTTAAGTCTTAGAAAGGTATAAGATCGTTGTGATTTTTGTATGCGAACAATTATTTTTCATCAAAGTTGTGTATATTAAAAAAATCATTAATAGTAGTTAGTAAATAGATTGTAATCATGTCAGCTTATGAATGTGTGTATGCCGCACCATTGATTCGTAATTTTTATCAATTTTTACACTCATTTTCATTGCTCAATTTGTACTATTATCCCTCTTTACACAGCTAGTACATTATTATATGTAAATATTGTAGTACTTTTTTCACAATGACATTATTTATTGATAATTCCGTAACAATTTTAACTATACTCCATAATATATTATTCCAAATAAGTGCATATATTTACATGTTAATGGAGACGACAGTACTATGTCTTGTTTTAATTGAACTACATATAAAGCCAACACTGGACTAAGGCCAACTGCACAGTAAAATGTAAGTCCAGCCAGATCGCTCGATTTGGCGCGGTTACAATGAAAATTAAGGAAGTTCCCGTTTCGTTGACTATTATTCTATATTCAGTCATCGATACATAGATATAAAGTAAATTATTTTTTAACACAAATTTAAGGTTAAAACAACCTTTTTAGATGCCATCATTACGAGAAAGTTGGCAGTGGGTCTCTCCATGAAAAATACACACCCACGTCTATACGGTTATATTTTTTTATTTTATGGATTAATTCCATTTTTGGGTCAATACTTCCATTAATAATAATGCATATACGACCTTTTTTATTTTTAAAACGATATTATAATTGTTTTTAAATTGTAATAAATAGAGCAATGGAAATGATAACGTAAATTGTAGCTTCGTTTCAGTTCGCCCATCAGATTTGCAAATGGACTTAGTTTATCACATTACATTAGTTTTTGCACTCGTAATGCACTCAGCAACTGCCATTGCACGTTTAATGTATGTTTGTTTGCACGTCTAATGCACTATGCGTTGTGATTATGTTCATTTTAAATTTGTAGTTTTACACGAATAACTGTTGTGGATTCGCATTTCAGGCGTTTATACAGTAACATTGGCAACGTCCTGTCTTAAATTTAATTTATATACTCTTTTATATGTAATATATAAAGTTCTTTGATAATAATTATATATATATATATATATATATATATATATATATATATATATATATATATATATATATATATATTTCATAGCTAATTAACAACGTTGCCAATCTTATCCCTTTATTCATAAAAACTGAGACGTCCAAAAGCTACTTTAACTATTTAACTATCGTGTTTTGTCACTATCTTTCAAAATGAGAAATTATTGCAAAAGAAAAAGACAAAACACTTTAATAGTTGAAATAGAAATAGGTTTATTAAAAATTGGACGTTTTTATAAAAAAAAGGTGGTTACTGTATGAACTGCTAAATACTTATTTATTGATAAAAAAATGAGGAACGAGGGAGAAAGACTCCTCTCAAAATACGTGGAATGGAATTATCTATCGACAATACATTTTAAGTGTATTATCAAATATTCATTGGGTACACATCAATAGGTGTCAATTCCATGGAAAATATAGTCTCTATCAATAGATTGTTAGACTTCCAAATTTTATATAATATATACAGTCAAGTAATCCATGAAATAGAATCATTTTCAACAAGGAATGTAACTATTCAGCGGGTCTACCATGAAATGAAATTCCGAAATTTCGGACTCAATTTCGTGTTTTTGTTTATACCAAAATCTAACCAATAAATAGAGTTTAACATTTCGTTCGTCATACATCCTATCATAAAAGTCAAAAGGAATAATATTTTAACATTTTTAATATTTCCAAACGGCATGTATTATTTAATTATAACATGAAATTTCTGTTTCGTTTGGCTCCGAAATTTCGTAAAACATGTCATGGTAGGCCCTCAGAATGTATTCTTTGATCTTTAATACAATTTGCATGGCCACATGATTCGATTTGTATACGAAACAAAAATTGCTTTAAATAATTTGTTAATATTAAAAAAATTTATAGATTATAATAATCTATTGATATTGAAGACTGTACGGTCCGTGGACCTCTATCACATTGCAGACTAATATTTCCTAACTGTGTACAGGCTATGACATGTCACCATTCATCCGGCGCTATGCCAAGTACCTCAATGAGAAGGCGCTGTCGTACAGGACCGTCGCCTTCGACTTCTGCAAAGTCAAGAGGGGGTAAGAGCTTATTACATACCGCTTTCACTAATCTACCTCCCTGGACAAGCAGCAAATGAATCTATCGATTAGACATGGCTAATATGGATACCGATCCGATATCTATATATTGGGTTCCTCCAAACATTAAAGGTCATCACCCATTTCGACATCGCCCATATCGGTCGGATATCTATTTTCGAATTTCGAAAGTCTGTTATCCAATATTAGTTTTTGGATAACAGACTTTTAACATAACATAACCTGAGGGAGACTTTGTACAAAAGTCGATTGCTTGGATACCTCAGTCCCATTCGTGTTTTTACCGTGAAGCAGTTGTGTTTGCATGGCTGTGTTTCAGTTTGAAGGGTGGGATATGGCGTGAATTTACAGGGTACAGAGGAATAACACCTGAGTCCTCAGGAATGGCAACGCATAGGGGGTATCATGGGCGAAATAGTATACTTTGTTATGTCCATGGTACTGCTCATGTCTATAGGCGACGGTTACCACTTTCCATCAGGTGAGCCATCAGCTTGTTTGCCATTCTAAGTTGTATAAAAAAAATATTCGTTATTGAACCAATATATGAATATTATAAGGATAAATATTGCTGTATATTCCCTATCCCCTCCTATAGATAGATAATAGAAACTGACAAATAATTACAAAACAGTATGACTCACAGTAGTTACTATTCAACAGTATAAGAGTAGTTATAATACAATCTAATTAATTCATGGTTCCGCAGCAAAGAGGAGGGTTCCCTGCGCATGATGAATGCAGAGAAGTTGCTCAAAACGCTGCCAGTGCTGCAGGCGCAGTTGGACGGCCTGCTGGAGTTCGACTGCACAGCCAATGATCTCACCAACGGAGTCATCAGCATGTGCTTCATGTTGCTCTTTAGAGATCTGATCAGGTGAGAATTCGGTATATGGTATTAGTATGAAGTAGTAAAGACCGGTGATGGAACTCTAGGTTCAGTAGGTAGAGGATTTTGTGTTAAATTCATCCACACCAATATATAGATGTGGAGATTATATATAGATAGATAGATTTAATTTTCGAAAGATATTCAAATCTATAGTTACTTCTACATTTTCGCCTCCTTATTTATACAACATTTTGAATTAAAAATTAAACTTTTTGTCTAAAAGGATATATTTTCAGAATGATCTCATAGAAGTTTTTACAAAAGCAATTCAGTAATTTAGTTTTTTAAATCAAAATAACATTTACGATTTATGGCAGTTTAATTGTAGAGATATATTCATAAGATTTATGAGACATATTGGCTAGTGAAAATTTAAAGAAGTGATTTTATTTTTATATTCAACGTTATTTTAAAATATCCCATGCATGTGGGATGCATGGTCTAGGGATAAGTAATAACTACCGGTGCCAACCCGCCTGTTAAGCGTGGCAACTACTGGTAAAACCCCCCTTATGGAGGAAACCTATGTTCAGTTTTGGACAGTTAACGCCTGATATGATGATGAGGTATGGTTCTAGAAGAATCAACAATCATCTTGGTGTACGATGCGTCCACATACTTAAAAAAAAAAAAAACAAATTAATATAAATACATTTATGCCTATTTCTAGATTGTTCGCATGCTACAACGACGGCATCATAAACTTATTGGAGAAATATTTCGATATGAACAAGAAGAATGCCCGTGAGGCTCTCGACCTCTATAAGAAGTTCCTCATCAGGATGGATAGGGTCGGAGAGTTCTTGAAGGCGAGTATTGGACTTTACTGCAAAAATATATTCACGACTGTAATCCGCAATGAGGTAGTCCCCATTTGACGAGTGTCGTCGTAGTGGTTAACGTAACATTAAATTCCCTGTGTTTTATTTTTATTTAAAAAAAATTGATGTCGTTTTTGTTGAGTTTTGAAATGAATGTGTTGCTGTAGAGTGATATTGCCATGTGGTCCCTGAATCCTGACTTCCTTACTAATATTATAACGGCTTAATCAATCACTATGAAATATGGTGTACAAACACATACTATATGGGATGGGAAGGATATATATAGGCTACTTTTTATCCCTGTCCAGAAACATATCCGGTCTAGCGGATAGATGATGTCGCGGGTAAAAGCTAGTATAAAAGAAATATTTAGGAATAAATAAGGTTTATCTAATTTCAATAAATAAACTAGTGCTGCTACTATCAAATAAGAGTACAAATAATTATCTTTTAAAATGTACGTCTCAAATTCACAGGTAGCAGAGAACGTGGGTATAGACAAAGGTGATATTCCTGACCTCACCAAAGCCCCAAGCAGTCTGCTGGACGCTTTAGAGGGTCACCTCGCCAGTCTTGAAGGCAAGAAGGGCTCGGCCGCCAACACGCCCACTCAGACAGCCAGGTTTATATATTTTATTTTTTCTAAAACTGTATTGCACGATATTGTAAGGATGGTAGTTGGAGAGACGAATAAATGCTCCAAGATTCGGATATTCGGAATGATACAGGCATTGCGTGTCTATTTTATACATAATTATAAAGTTTAGTATTACATACACTACAATATACATATATCCGTCACGCCTGTCTCTCATTGGTGTAGGCAGAAACAATGGAATGTCTGGTTCAGTTTGATTCCAACAGATCTCTTTCGCTTCTTTCACTTTCATCATTCATACACGCTTGCCGGTTATGGCTACTTTTAATCTGGTCCTTCTTCAGTAAGTCGCCTATTTAATATAGAAGTGAAATTACAGGATATGGGGGCGTAAAATTTCACTCCTCAAGAATGGCGATGAGTGATACATTGTATTTTGAGGCTTTATGGTGCTATTCTTGCTCTATAAGCGACGGTTTTTTTAATGGGTTAAGATAGAATGGTAACCCCGTCTGCGCTATTGGGTTTTAGTAATGCGGACTACCAATTGCTAGCAGTGTACCCTGTCAGGTTAACCTCCGAGTGGTCCTCACTGGAAATCATCGTGCTGAATTCCAGGTGTATTCATCACGATCGACTAAGTTACCTGCCTTTTCATTCTCACTTATTATCCCTCACTGGTGCCTCGCCAGTGTACACTGTTAGTGCAAGGGAGGTTACCATTCCATTAACATATATTAAAAAAAAACTATTTTACAGATTAAATTTAGCTCCCCTGCAAACTGGTATATTTGTTTGGTCTGAGTGTCTCTGGGTATTTGATGTTTGTTTAAAAAAATATATGTACCCATCGTCTAGTGTTCATAGTAAAAACATTACTTGGTTTGAAACCGACATCCACAGTGCTCAGAAGAACGTAGCGAGCGTGATGGGTGCATTGTCCTCAACATCATCATCGTTCGGCAACGCGGCCGCCTCCACGCGTCTCGACAACCAGCCCAACGGTGCTTCACCGCTGTTCATCGACGACACCCTCAAACAGCAGGCCCTGGCGGAAGAGGAAGCCGCCATGAACCAGTATAAGGTAAGTGTCACTAAATCATTAATTAAAAAATACAATAGTTGTACCATATAATGAAGAGCCTAGTGTGAGTTATACGAAGATTTATATTGCAACCGTATTCACGTTTATGTCGTTAAATTTATGTAAAGATCTGTTTCTGAAACCAACTACTGTTACTACGATTGCGTCCACCATGTACCCTTTTGTATAAGCATTCCGTCACCCGTATCCAATAGCGAGGACGGGATGCCTTAAATATTGCACCGCAAACCATAAAAAAAAACTACTGTTACTACGCAATTAACAGTTATTAACTAAAATACAGTAACAGTTGTCAAGCAGAAATAAGTGTGCCCTAGTGTGAGTTGTACGAAAATTTACTTTACATCTGTGTTCACGTCTACGACATTAAATTTATATAAAAAAGTAACTACTAGAAATGCTTTTTAATACAAATTTTCGATGTTATATAATTAAAAATACAGTAACATTTGACAAGCAGGAATAGATATAGTATATATATAACAGAGCTCCTAGTGTGAGTTGTACGAATATTTACGTTACATGTGTATACACGTTTACGACATTAAATTTATATAGAAATCTGTTTTCAAAATCAACTACTAAGAGACGCTCTTAATTTTTTAATATTTTTAACGTTAATAATTAAAAATATAGTGGCGTCAAAAATAAGTGTACCATATAACAGAGACCATAGTGTGAGTTGTACGAAGATTTATTATTACGCTCACCGCTTATGTTAATAGATTTGTATAGAAGTCGTAGTATCACAAACTATCCACAAGAGGCGCTGCTAAATTTCGGATACAAATTTCCCATTTAGATGTTAACATTACAACCTACTTGTAATGTAAATGTATATTTAATTCACACTAGGTACATAGTATTCTATACTTAATTTTTTTGTAACATTACAAATAAGTAATTGTAAGTGTAATATAAAATATTATTATGCACATAGTATTACGACATGCAATTTACAGGTTCATTTGTTACAAGGAGAAGGGTGGACCGGCGAAGAAGATTTGTCTGTTATCATTGTAAGATACTGTAATTGGGGTAGCTTTGTGTATGTGCGTTGATCGTTGACCAAACATTCGTCAACCTATGTCGTATCGTTTTAAAATAATTATTTATTTGTATGGTATATTTGGATAACATATTTACATGTTAATATTATAAATAAGAGACTTTATTTATTATCTGTTAAGATACTAATTCGATAATTAATTATAACCTTAATGTTATCTATTAAGGTAATAATTAAGAAATCTTCGACAGACTATGTCTTAAATCATAAGGATGTTTTTTTTAATGGATGATAATGGAATAGTAACCCCGCCTGCTCTATCGCGATGCGCTGGTGAGACACCAGCGAGTGATGGTAGGCGAAGAAGGTACAGGTCAAAAGTATCGAGACAAATCACGCAATTAATTCAATATCAATGTCAACAATCAAGATAAATTCCCAGGGAAACCGCATGGTGGTCAATCTGGTAGGAAATATTACTGGCAATATGGCTCTTAGATCTCCATTACTAACAATCCATTTTCCCTCCATAAGTATGGTTTAAGACATCATCTATCATATTTTTAAATAACAATACGTTGACGTATGTTAGGCCAACATAACTGGGGAGATGTTATTGGTGCTTACCGGGAAAACCAGAAAATTCGTTGTGTTATTTTTCATGCTATATGTGTTTGGGAGTTCACTGTACACTTATGTATATTCGTTAATTAAAAACATAAAAAAATGTAGTCAAAATAACATTATAAAAGTACTTTTTAACCTTAGATTATGTAGATAGAGAGAGCATCGAGTGTCAAAAACAGCTCAAATTTTAATCGTTAATAATTATACAACGCGATTTTTTAATTGAATTAAAACATTACAACCCTATATATATATATATATATATATATATATATATATATATATATATATATATATATATATATATATATATATAATAATTCAAATAGCGGCCGCATTTAATGGTTTAAAAACAAAACATATTTTATGTCTTATGTTCAGATATAAATCAAAATAATCGCTAAAAATAAGCATTGTTACAAATTATTATTCAGTTATTCTTTCAAATATACTCTTAAAAATTTTAATTTTACCTTACAATATAATTTCTCTTATTTACTAAGCAATAAATGCACATTAGGGTATCACACACACATGTATAAAAAAGTTGACCTATTTTTGACGAAGTATTTGTATGGAGACACTCTATCTATATAATCTCACTCTCTTATTTATAAAAAAACTATAACGTCTTACAAACCCATTATTTTGTCACTTTCTTTCAAATTTAAAATTTTAAACTAATGAAAGGGACAACATACTTCAATAGCTAATGTAAGTTTATTAGAGGTTTGACATCTTTATGAACAAGGGAGTAAGGTTTTAACATACTTATATATTGGGATTACTAACTTCTTACATTAGTGTTGTGTTATTGAAAGACAAAACGAATGTTAAAAACTTGTTGGGCACTTTGAGAGTGAATTTATCTAATTATAAAAGTATTTGTTATTTTTACAGCACTATTAGGGTTATTACAATAGTTTTGAGTTATTATAAGAATGAATTCACTACACTGAATTGGTTTTGTATTATTGTAAGGGTGTTTGTTACTTTTACAATAGTGTTGCCACTTTTACAATAGTGTTGTCCACTTTTACAATAGTGTTGCCCACTTTTACATTATTTTTGTGCTGTTCTAAAAATATTTATTATTTTTACAATGTGTTACTTTTTAATTCAAATAAACTATTTATATATCTATTTGGTTTGGGTTAAGATCGTATTTGATTTGTAAAATTTAATTTTACGTTTTCCATTATTGTTCACTGTTATAATTGTCATTGATTTGGTAAACATACCTCATGTTTAGATGGTTAACGCTCGATACTGTGTTACTAGTATTTAATAGTGTTAAAAATTTGTCTACATCTCCATACGTTATTATTGACTATTTATTTATATAATTTTAATACAAGTGTAAATGGCAGGCTTTACACCTTATAGAATATATAATTGACGGTACAACGTGATGAGCAAGTAAATAAAAAAACAGTATTAAACTATAACAGTAATTTAAAAAATAATGTACATACCATATATTAGTTATAATACCTAAATATTATAGATTTAATGAATTAATTTCTAATCATAATTTTACTTTAAAAATACTGATTTTTTTATTTCAATTTAACTAGATTTTGATTACTATTTCCGCACGGTATTTATTTTATAATATTAAGTTATTTATTTAAAATTAATTATTACCAGCGTCATATTCATCACGCTTATATCGGTGAAGGTACTAAATGTAGCACTGGCAGTTATATAAAAATGGCTCTTATCGATTACAGAATAAGGTGCAGTCGCCAACAAGCGCAGCAGCGAACAATCCATTCCTGTCCACCGCTCCGGCGACCAATCAGAACCAGTCTATTGTGGACCTGTTCGGTCCAACGCCATCAGACACTACAAGCCAGACTAGCAAGGCCTCCGATGATCTCCTCTCACTCGGGAACCCCTTCGCTGATATGTTTGGTGGTGAGTTCTAATGTATTGGAAAAGTATATGTATATATTGAAGGTTTTTGTCTTGTTCATAAAGACTAAAATGCATACAAACTTTATTTAGCTATTAATATATGTTATTAGGAATTTACTGTAAAAAGATCAATATTTACAATGGATTTATATATGGTTTTTACAGCAACATTGATATAAAAATGAGTTTTGCGTTTAATTGTAAATCTTTGTGTACATGGGAATGTTATTGCATTGTTTAAACATTATTTTTAGTTTTAAATTAATTAAGAGAACGAATTCTTCTCTTACATCTGTAGTTACTCTTTAATATGTTATCAGGTTAATTTGTATGATTTTAGATTAAAATTAACATTAAAGTTTAATTTACAATTACAATTTCTAAAAAAAAGCCATTGTACTATACTGTGTGAGTTTCTATGAAACTGAATTTACAATAAAATTGTGTTATAAACCAACATCTATCAGGTTGTTAGAAACTAAATATATTTCTTAGGTTAATAGCTAAAATTACTAATAGCTCCAGAAAAAAATATTGGAATATACAAAAATAAAACAACTGACTGTCTATTTAACTTTATATTATAGAGCTTCGCAATTTAATACATTTGTAAAATATTGTAACATAAAAATTAACATACATAAAAATACTTCAATCTGACATCTGATGACTCACACTTATTCTTTTTCAATTTATATTAAGACTCAAATATTATACACAAATAAAAATATTAGAAACCATAGATATAAATAAGTAGTCCCTTCACACTGTATTATAAAAGCACATCCCGAGCTTATGGGGATGGTGATGCACATAAAACACCATTCACTTATGCATAAAATCCAACATTTCTTAGTACGATACTAAATATCCATGCAGTACATAACATTACAAAAATTATAACAATCTTAATACTAGGTATTAAAAACACCCTAATTTCCGGGTACTGCATCGTTATTTAAGTATGGCAACACTTTTTAGCCGCCCCACAACCAGCGCCGCCCGCGCAACCACCAATGTGGCAACAGCAGAGCAACGGTTTCGGTGCAACGTTCCCGCCGCAACCCGCGAACAACACATTTGTGTCCGAGGCTAACTTCTCTAATGTTTTCAGTAACACTGACACTACAGGTGAGGCGCTTGTCCTTGTAGATACACGCGTGGGGTTGCCATATGATAACATTAATTACCTCATTTTGCATAAGAAAAAAATTTATCCACTTCTGCTATGAGAAATACAACCAGCAGTAGAGACAGTGTTGAGATAGTATAATAATAATTATTTTTTTATGCAACACTGTTTTAATATATTTATATATAATTTTACAAATTTTAATGAATATATATTTATATATTAAGTTTTTGAAAATGTGAAGAATTTTTTTCTTCAAAATAATCAAATCAACGACATCCAATATCCAATTAAAAAATAATAATTTAAGCATAATTTAGAATCTTAAATTTTTTATACTTCTTTCCCAATTTGGCAAGCAGTTTAATAAAAAAAAGTATCATATTGCAACTCTTCCCTTTTTCTATTAATAATTCTATTTCTATTCTGGTGTTGGTAATTACATAATATTTTTATTTAATACATAGCAACTATAATAATATATCATTTTCTCACGCAAGCTGCGCCGGCTAACCCGTTCATGGGTATGGGAGATCCTGCCCCACCTATATCCGCATCCCCAGCCCGTCCCCCTCCTCCAGCTCATCCCCCACAACCCAAATCCGCGTTCGATGACCTCGAAGACGTAATGCGTATGTCTCTCGGTGGGTCCCCTGCTAAACAATCCAACCAGCCAATCACGCAACAACCTCAGCCAATGGCGTCGCAGCCGTTCAGTGACGTCATGTCGATGCCGATGGCCCAGCCTATGATGTTCGGCTCTCCGGCCCGACAACCAATGATGCCAATGACAGCCATGGGTTCGAAATTTGAATTTAGATGGAACGTTCGTTTTAGTTTTTTTTTTCAAGCCAGTCGCCAGTAACCCTTTTGCTTTGCAGGTATCTTAATCTAGCCCCGCACTGTTTTAGCGCTGCGTTATTAATTTATAATCTGTGTAAATAAAGCTGTTTAGTTGTGATGTATATTTTATGTTGTGTTTTAATTGCATCTATATATTTTATATAATAATTTACAGCACCTTAATTTTGTTATCGCCTATAAATATTTATTCTCCCCTATTTTGTTTGCACATTTTTAAATTCCAAAATGTTGATGTTTTTTAGCTATAATATTTTATTCATGCAAACATTTGTACAAAAGTAGTCATTGAATTGTAAAAATATTTAAAATTTTGTTCCTCGATATAACCAGCTTCAGTCTTGACATAATATTAATTATATTCCCCTGTTTGACCCCATTTCTATTATTAAACAATCATTAAACTTTAGTAAAGTCATCTGACATACAATTATATTTAATTTCACTCTATCATTATGAAGTCTATAAAAAAACTGTCATCAATAATTCATATTTTAAAAGAAAAGAACCTATAATTTAATTGCAGATTGTTTTAAAAGATTTTCAACCTTACTGTCATAAACATAAAGATAATATCTGCAGGCCAGCAACCTCAGCAACAGCCCGGCAAAGTCCTCACCGGCGATCTGGACTCATCTCTCGCACAGTTGGCCAATAACCTGTCCATAAACAAGAGCGCCACAGCACAGAAGTAAGTATTAAAAAAATAATGCTTGGAATTATGGTCTGGGGCATAGTTATAGTGCGACCCTGTTTTATAATTAGTTTTTGATACTTTAAAGTACCGACTGCATTGAAATAAGTCACCAAAGGCATTTTATAACATTTTTCAAAAAGATTCAACAATATAATAAAAATACAAGAAAATAATTTTATAACAATATAGGAGGTACTTAATATGAAATTCTGAAAAGTCGATCTAAGTAATTCAGCAATTATATTGACTGATAAATTTTTAGAAGGAACTACAGATAATTTAAAATTAATCAGTTGACACTAGATCAATTTTCCAGAAGAGTATTATTTTACAGTAGTTATTTTTTTAAATATAGCTTGGTTACATTTTTATAGAATGACGTCATTTCAGTTACTGAATTCGTTAAATTTTCAAGTGTTATTTCGTAGAAAATTTCAGTTTCTAGTGAGAAATATAAATACGATACTTTTATGTAATTAATTATAACTTATATTAATTAATGAATTAGTAATTAATTATTAATTAATTTTATTTTATAATAATAATTTTATTTTTCTCATTAGTAACAATTGTGTGATATTTACCTTATCGAGTGTACGTGAAGTTATTAGAATGCTAATTTTTATACATAATAACAGGTGTACACGGTCGATATCTCATTTGTGTTATACTTTTTCTTAATTTTGAAAGATTTTTCTTTCTTAGACACTTGACATCGAATATATATAAATGTTATCTCGGTTTGTTTACATCTGCTATTTAAATTGCGAGTTCTTACTACTGCCAATCGAAACGACTTTGCCTTCATTTGATTAAAAAAAAAAGATGGTGCAAGTAATAATAATGAGCAATTAATATAAACAGTGGTCAGTGAAAGCATCTGCAACATTTAAATTTGGAATCAGAAAATTAAACACAGTCTTTACACAGATTCGATATAGATTTTTCATCTGTCCTTAGATGTACTGTTTTACCAGTTTTTTTTTTTTTTATTACCCTAAATATAATTTCATACATTTTTCTAATACTTTATAGATAGATAGATAGTCTTTATTACAACTAATAATATTTAAGAAAAGAAAAACAAAAAAGAAAAAAACAATTCATTTTGCTGGTAATAAGAGCCGCCTCAACTGTTGCTATATATGTACACCCCTCGCAAGATGGATTTATCTATGGGTTTTTTTTTTAATGGATGATAATGGAAAGGTAACCCCACCCGCACTATCGGTATACACCGGTGAAGTACCAGTGAAGGATGATAGGTGAGAATGAAGTACGGCAGTAAGCCCATCATGACGAATTCAACAAGAATTGTTCACGATGGTTTCCAGGAGGAACCACGTGGAGGTCGACCTAATAGGGTATATGCCTAGCAATGGGGCTGTCAAACTCCATTGCTAACAATCCCTTTCCCCCCTATCTATGGGTGTTGGACTCAAATACAATAAATAGTTGGTGATCCACACATCTCATGTACATTATAAATCACAAATGTTCATAAACACGCTATCTGAACAAAGCTTTGCACAAAAACAATCTCTTGCAGGATGCTTTCACTTCACACACTTGCAAATTGCTGGGTTCGTACGGTGTTTAAATTAATAACCTAATTATTCGACTACAATGGCCATATAATGGCAATAAAGAAAATAATAGCTATATAACAGTTACATAAATGCAAATGTAGTAAATAGAGAGCAAAACGTACCGTACGAGCCCAGCATGCTCGCCCGCATGACTGACCGGTGCCATGTCGCATAGACCGATGCAGTGGAACTCGCCGAAGAACGCGTCCAAGCCCGGCGCCACGTGGACACCGCAGCCAATGCAGGCCACCACCGGAGTTGGATACAGGCCTATGGTAAGGAGCCCGCGTTTTCTGGCCGGCTAGTATAAATGGTTCGCACAGTATACAATTTGGTGTACGTTTATAATAACAAATACCCACACGATCACACCGATCGATTGGTCCTCCAACTAGATACAGTGTTATAATGAATCAGCCAACAACATTTGGGGGCGTGACCTAGAACATTAATACTATTTATACAATTAATATTATTAATTATACAATTAATATTATTGATTAAACAATTAGTATTGTTAATTAAACAATTATCATTATTAATTAAACAATTATCATTATTAATTAAACAATTATCATTATTAATTAAACAATTATCATTATTAATTAAACAATTATCATTATTTATTAAACAATTAATATTATTAATTAAACATTTATCATTATTAATTAAACAGTGATCATTAATAATTAATAATTATTTTTAATTAAACATTTTTTTACATAAAGACTTTAATCTTAACAAATTAATATAGAACGAGAAATCAAAAGAATAATGTCTCAAATGGGCCTTATAATACCAAAAAAAGTCGATCACCGAAAGCAAAATTGGTTAAAAAAATATTGACTTTATTGATATAAAGATGTTGTAATTGTACAGCAATAAAATGCGTATACTCTATATAATTATAGAGATCTTAACATTTTGAAATGAAGGCCTTGTTCAGAAAATATAAAAGTCATACCATTTTGGAATAAAGGCTTTGTTCACGAAACAGTACCAATCGCCGGCCAGAAACTGAAGTTTTATTTCATAGTTTATATCGTACCATCAAGAGTGTAACTTAAACGGACAAATAATGAATACAAACTTTCAGTATAGAGAAAAACAAACAAATTCTATTAAAACCATAAACTATAAAGTATTAGCTCACTATTGTATGTAAAATGATGTAGTTAAAACAATTTAATTCGTTAATTACTCCATTTATACATATTTTATCGAGCATTACTGTGGTTAGGTATTACTGCCGAGCACTAAATATTTCTATAAATAAAATGGAGCGCACATGATCAACGCATTTATAGACACACCATAATCATGACAGACAGATGACAAATAAGTAGAATATATGAAACCGTTATGAGAAGACATTCAAAATTTAAAAAATCTTTTTATATGAAAGGATATATTTTTAGATATATTCGATTGAAATGTTATCAAAATCGGTACGGTAGTTGAATTTTTAATATAACTGGTTTGCCACGATTGTTGAAGTCTGCTTTCTGTTGTGAAGCACAATTTTAAATTATTTCTGTTTTCCAACCATATTTTGACATACAGGAATTGAAATCTGGGAAATCAGTAATTTACTAACATGACTCATTAAAATGATCATCCATTAAACCGACCAACTCAACAGTAAATACAGTCAAAAATACAAATTATTCAAATATTATTCGATATTAGACTCCGTTTTCTGTAATTTTTGAATCAATTTGTACTAGGCGAAATGTGAGCAAACCCAATGCTTCGTCCTCCAGAAAGTCATTATACAATTTTGATGGTACCACTTTCTAGTTAGTCTAGCTATTAGTGAATATAATTTACAAACTATACAAAGAACATTGAAATAGCAAATTTGAGGATCAAAACTTACCATACAACTTTTGCTTTAATTGTTGCATTATGATTTTCTAGACGTATGTTGCGCTATGAACTCTATGCTACAAACTTAAAGCTCAGTATTCTACGCTATTTTTTTCTTTGTGCATTTTTTTTTTCTTTTTCCCCCGTAGCATGCCTGCATTATTTTTTTCAGGGCCCCGGCATGACTCTCCCATCAATGCCTCACACCTTGCCCCATACATACCACCCCCCGCATTATATTATGGTAAGTTTGCTATATATTTTTTTTGTTATTTTTTTCTTTTCGCTTCGTATTAGATTAGCGGACATCTGTTTTCTTTCGCTTATAGTCAGTCATATTTTGACTAGTACGTGGCGAATTAGTATAACATATGAGCACCTATTTTATAAGGTTGAATTTTAGTTAGAAACGTATCCTTATGGACTGTTTATTATCACATTGATTTTTAAAACAATAACCAAAATTGTATAAACATCATTTATATAAAGAAAAGCTCTTTCAAGAATATATTTGATTGTATTATCCTGTCTGTGCCTCAAACAATTTCAAATCACCTTAGAATCATTAAAAAAAAAAAAAAAAAAAAAAAACAGATGTTGCTTTAATCGTCACATAAATACATAAGCATATTAGGGAAAACTCATCCAGTTATGCTACAGCTTTTCAAGGTATGGTATATACAATTTAATAAAAAAGGCAAATAAGTTCATAACTTACATACATCATTTCTTAGTTGTCGACAAGAAACTAAAGTACTGTGAGTATTCTGTTCTTGCTAGTATCTTAGTAACCATTAATATGGATCAAAAAACAGAAGTCAGATACTGTGTTTCTGAATACTACTGAATCGAAATAAAGTTATAACAAATAAGTATGATAATATTTTATTTATAATATAATGTATACAATATTACTTTTTGTAATTATTTTGGGGTCATTACATGTAATAGTTAGAAATTAATCACGGGGTTAATACATACAACCTGTATATTAAATACAGGCTGTAAAATGGTCCCGATGTCCTGACTATTCACAACATAAATAAATTAGTCCCGGGGTCATTATGCACAACTTGTATAAGTTAGTCCTGGGGTCATTATGTACAACTTGTATAAATTAGTCTGGGGTCACTATATACAACTTGTATAAATTAGTCTGGGGTCACTATATACAACTTGTATAAATTAGTCTGGGGTCACTACGCACAATATGAATAAATTAGTCCCAGTGTCACTATGCACAATTTGAATAAATTAGTCCCGGGGTCACTATACACAATTTGTATAAATTAGTCCCGGAGTCAGTATGCACAACTTATGTAAATTATTCCCGGAACTTGATGTTTATACGAATCACAATGGGTAATTAATAGGGAGGTAATTGGTGGAGGTAAAAAACTTGCTTTAGTAATCCGCCGATTTTAAATTGATCGATAAAATTATTTTATTGCCCACTATTACTGACACTTAAATAATGTCACTTCTCTTTTTTATTCATATTTTCGGCAATGTTATTAAAAGTTTCAGTGTTGAATGTATTTGTGTGAAGTTTGCATGATTAGCTGATTGTGTATGACTTCTGTGTTTGCACGTGATTTTTGATTCGTCTATTTTATATTACTTCTAAACTTAATCCTTTCGGATATACTACTTTACTATTAAAAATTAAAGAATATTATATCTTTCCAATCCTATAATCTTTCTAATGTAATAAAATAAAGAAATATATATCATTTAAAATATGGTGTATGTATAAGTAGTTCGTTTCTTGTTGAATTTTAGTATGAATTATAAATAGTTTAAACACATCATTTCCCATGTTTTATTTCAATACGTTATATTTATATAAATACAGACAATATATAATAATTTCCTATTTATCTACTTTAAATAATAATTTATATATACACACTATAATGTACATATTTATTTTTTATACATTTATATAAATACGTTTACAAGAATGTTCATATATTTTTATATTATTGTACGTATGAAACAGTGTCCAGATATATTCAAGTAATTACTTGTTACATATTGTCAAAATCAATGGATATACTTTCATAAAAATATTACAATTCCAGCAACAGCCAGGCATGGTAATGGGCATGCCCGGCGCCCAAATGATGCCTATGGGGATGGCCCAACCGATGAGACCCGCCGTACCACCGCCACAGACTACAACAAACCAGTTCAGTTAAACTGGTATACCATTAGTCGACCCGACTGATTTACGCCTCAAAAAATATGTTTATAATTATAAACACACTGCTCCTAAATAGCCAGCAACTTGTCATTCAATTTTAGACTGTATTTTCTGTATAATACGTTTTACGATACAATGGTAACGATAAATGTACGCCTCCAGTATGATTGGTTCATTATTCTTGCTATTATAAAATGTATCATATATCGATTAACATAAAACTGGAATTTCAATGACAAGTTGTTTTACTGTGTTTTGATAGTGTTTGAATATAATGAGCGACGACCCAACATAAATATGCAGTATTGCTGTAAATATTGTCGTTTTTTTATTAAATTCATTCGTTAGTACAGTCAAACGCCTATAATATGACATACCCTGTGAAAGGATGTGCAATTTCTGACAAGGGAGACAGTACATATGAGAGATGAAAATATAGTTTGTCTATGGTGTCTATATTATTTACTATTATTATTATAACAAAATAGGTCATAAGCGTATTTACCATTCAACAGTAGAATAAATAATATACCAACAAGCATAGAATCTGTATAATGATAGTAAAAGATACATTTATACAGTTTTACTACCGCTATGTATTCTAAAGATGGCAACACTCTTAAACAGCAATTTTAAAACGAAGCTGTACAAAAGCTGTTTAAAAATAGATCTTGTGTCAGTTGAGATACAGTATATGTTATAGCGTAATGGTTAATAATAATAATATCACATTGTATTATGTTCATATTTTTAAAAGGTGTAAAACAATCGGGTCTTAGGAATTTAATATTTTAAATGTAATGTGTCTTTGATGTAATCCAAGTAGGGACTTTTCGTGCGGTTCCACTTGTTACTGTTTGCCCAATAATAGGTATATTGACCGTTCAAAAATGCGTTTTATGTTACCGACACAATATGAATTAGTTACTGAATTATTATATATGTAGTCATTAAAAATAATGTATGAATATTGTAATAATTTATGAATAACACTTCTATTCATTTTATGGCATTGGATTTCGTTTGGAAATTTATTAATGAAAAAATTTAAAGGGTCTATAATATGAATTGTTTAAAATGTTTAGTTTAATTAAATCCTCGTCATATCCTCTAAGACACGAGTACGTCACTATCAGTTTAATTATATTTAGTAATGAATAAAATGGTGTGAATATTGTTATGATTAGAAATGTTATCAAAATATTGTAATGCGATGGAAAATATAATTGGTAGATATATTTATTGAGAAAAGGTATGAATCAATAGGTAAATATTTAATTTTAGTCATGTTAAAAAAATGTAATCACCCAAGAGAATTTAGAATTGATTTGTTTGTAAGCGTTTTCTTCAAATTGAATTATTATCTTATGAAAATGGTGCGTATTTATTACACGTTTCTTTTTTCTTTCTCTTAAAAAATTCAACCGACATCACATTCCATAATTGTACAAAATCATAATTTATCGTTAGCGACATAAAACTTGAATTATATATTTTATAAATAGCCATTTCTTTTGTCTTTAGTGAGCATTTATGTGGCAGTTTGGTCGCTACAATTCATTAGCGCGCGTGATCTTTGTTTGTAGTAGGATGTGTACGTACATTATGTGTTAGTGTGCGTGTCTAATGGAAAAACAGTGTTGCCAACTTATACTCCCTAAATTGTGGATAACAGAATGTTACATTTTTGTGAGGAAAAAGATCTTGTTTAATCTTTTTTAATCAGTCTTTCAAATAGTAAATTAAATGTGAATTACATTAATATGTACTTACAGGAGTACTTACCAAAACTGTCGACCTAATTAGAATACTGTTTAAATTTTTCTTAATTTGAACAAAAAATGTTAAGTATTTACAACAGATACCTGTGATCACATAATAGCATATAATGATACAAAACTATACAACGAAGGTCTCGCGCGATCGTGTATTGTATATACATATATATTATAAACAAGTGTAGTCACTTTTAGTTCAATCTATGGAAATTCATAGTGCGTAGTTACACGGGAGTAGATCCTACATAACCTTATATGATAAATGTATAAATGCTATAATTTCGTATTCAGTAGATTGTTAAGGTTAGAGAGTTCGAACACCGGTTTAACTGGAAATAATATAGTCTCAGTAGACTAAAAGCTTAAACCAGTGTTGCCATAATAAATATTAGTAATACGACCGAAATTGCTTGTACCGAAAGAGCGTTCTTGAATTACCTTCAAAGTGCTATTTCTGACAAGTTTGCATATTCTCACGTAATCATATGTAAAAACTATTTAATCTAAAAAAAAATCATTCTAATATAAATTAGATTGTTATCAGACTAGTGTTACGGGTGTAAAGTGTATGACTGCTGTTGTGAATATATGGACTAGGTGCTTTCCACGTGACCATTCGCTATATTATATTATTATGATGATTAATCATCTTTAAACATTAATCTATGTTAAAAAAAATGCCAAATATTATGGTATAGGGCACGTGTATAGTTCTGTCCTTTATTCTATCTTACCAGTCAACAATACTTTGTACAAATGTTCTAATTTTAAATATTTAAAAAAATATATATATATTAAAAAGCTTACGTGTGATATTATGTTCGAAAGACTGTTACGCAATTCATAAAAGTATTACATAAATATATTAAACTTAATTTTTTTTTTTATCGTTTGGACAAAGTATTGTGTGTATAAATTGTTGCCATCATATTTGTTTCCTTTAAGTATAATAGATTGATGGCAACACTATTGATGTTACTACATTATTATTCAAAATGTAACCCTAATTGAATAGCCGTTTATGTAAACAAGTTAGCTTTTAACGGAAAATGATCTATTTGCAGTTTTCCGTCACTGATTGATTATTAATATTGTAAATAGAATGTTATATGAATGAACACAGAGCCAATTTAAAATTACGTTGCTATTATTTTGTTTTGATTTTTTTTTTTTTAATTGGACACCTTCGAGTCTTTATAGGAAAATAAATAATGGCATATACTTTATTTTTTTACGTCAACAAACCATGAAATTTGTACGTATTATGTAAAAGTTGTCAGGTGTCTCTGTAATTATAGTCAGACGTTAGTGCTTATTATTTACCTATGAATTAGTTGTAATTATAATTTCATAGTTCAATTTAATGGTATATAATATCATTTTCAATCGTGTGTTAAGATCTGTTGCTTGAGATTTTTTTTTTTTCTTTTGATTGATAGTATTTTTTGTGCAATATATACTTTTGTAAAATTATTTTATTTGAAAATGGCGTTGAAATAATTATGTTTTAAAGTATTATGAATTGTAATAACACTTATTGACTCTTATGAATTTAGATTTGCCAATTAAATCCCAGTGTGTTTATAAAGCGGCAATTTTTTTTTAATGACCGCATTTTTATATTAATTATTGTTACATTCGTTATTTGAATAAATTAACGGGGCTAAAGATAGACAGTATACAGCTATAAAATTAAATTGTTAAATCATTTCAAAATGTTTTCTCTGCATAGCGCTGAGAAAAACAGTTGGTACAACTGATTTGTTTCAAATAAGCACCGTCACTAGTGTAAAAAAATCTAGATAAAAAAATGGTAGGCCTTAAAATTTTAAGTTGTATATTTTATTATGTTTTATTAATATCGATGTAATTTAATAATGATCTTTATCTGTAAATATTCGCTGCTATATTATTATAATTTTGTCGCGCCATGCATATTGGAGTAGATAATTTATGAAAGAAATAAATCGATTCTAATTATTTTTTTATGTTTTTTATTTATACTTTTGTGTTGCTAGTAGTAAAAAATTATTTAAAAATATCTAAATGTGTAAATTAAAATGATCGTGTCTATTTACCTCTAATTCTAATGACAATACTTATCACAAAGTTACTCTTAAAAAGGTTTGTCTGTTATATAGGAGTAAGGAGAAGAGGGAAATGTGTTGCAAGGATCTGTCCTATATGTAGTTTAACATTTTTTATAAAAAAAATGCATAAATGTACTTATATAAACTAACATAAGGTAAACAGTTTAACTGGATGCCTTGACAAGTAAACAAGTAAATATCATTTAAATCTAAATATATGCTTCAGTCCTGGAAAATAAAATTGTCCTTAATTTTTGCTCATAGAAAACAATTATCCATTTATTGTTAATAAAAAACTTAATGGAACTAAACCTTATGCCAATGATGTAAGGTTTAGTTTGATCAAGTGTATACAAACCATAGCCGTTGCAATGGAATTTGCCTGTCACAAGGTCGTCCCATCGCCGAGACCATAGCACGCGTAGATATACTTAGGGGTAGGTTACGTTCTTAGTATTTTCTAATATATAAATAAACCTCATTTTTCTTCAATAAGGCTGAAACGTATATTTTATATAATCACTTGTGTATATAGTACACTTTGCATTGTTACTTAAGTATAGGACAGATCAATATCATGCTAATCCTAGTCGTATATTCATTCTAACACAGTAGATAACTAAATCTAAGGGTTTTATTGTACTGGCGGATGGCAGGGAGAATATATGTGTCTCGTAAGATATGGATTAAAATGCCAACTGTGAAACAAGAACGGTTTTAAACTATTCTACACACTATTATCTCTATCATTTTATTTTCCTCGTTTTATTACGAACAGAATATTGTGTAGAGGTGTAAAAAATAGCATATATTGGGTTACAGACTGATTGTTTCACACCCAAGTTTCATTATAAAACACTCGACTAATAACTAAAATCTACTATGCTATACGTCAGTGCAATATTTATAAAACAAAATTATACCTATGTGAACTAAAAATAGAATCTGTGGTCAAAAAGAGCGGGTGATGCAAAGCAGGCAAAGGAATTGGCCGATAACAGCCATCTACATAATGTCTTTCGTATGCTCCTTTCAAACGTAAGATATAAGTATATTAGCACTTCTCAATAGATATCACAAGGTATTGTATAGTTGTTGAAATTAGCAGAACAAAGTAGATACCTACATGTAAGGTATATTATTTGATTTAATAGTTTAGGGGATCATAAAAATAATGTAATCAGAATAGCTTGTGGTCCTGAATGTACTATAAAATATTTTTCCAGTGTTGCCCTCATAAAATATTGCTAATTATCGAAGTGTGACCAGTAAATGTATACTTATGTTTGTGTAGATCGATAATTTACAGTGATATTATTGTGTTATATTTCTTTTCTTTTTATAATAAATCACAGATCAGAAAAAACGGAAGTGCACAGCAGACGCAACAAAGCAAAGTATTTTTTAATTAATTTTAGATTAATCAAAATACCTGCAAAGTCCCAATAATAAGAAAAAGACAATAAATTGTGCTCCACTATAATTTTTAGAATGCCTTTAAATAAATAAATTTAATATATTCCTTTAGAAAACTAATGTTACACACTAATATTTAAGGTGAGGAAACGAGGCGAAAAAATTCAGATTGGCGCCAAAATTTGACATTTATTTTTACTCAAACGTTTATAGCTACCCTAAGGACAAGAAATCTTTGTACCTACCTACTACTTCTCGTTCTTTTTGTTCTGTGATAAGATAATACACTCCGTCATAAAGCTTTCAAACGTTGTGTAATGTAACTTGTTGAATCGCAATTAGTAGCGGTTAATTATTATTACAACTACCTACAATAAATTAATAAAGTTGAAAATTGATGTTTCACTCAGATTTTTTTTTTATTCTCTACTAGGTAATAATCTCATAATTATTTATATTAAAATCAAATCTATAACATAAGATTAGCAACCGAGGTAATTTATAAAATATTACAGGTAAACAAATCATACAATGTGAACTAAAAAACTCCAAAATTACATCAACTTTTTAAACTGGCTTAATTTAAATTTGCCGCCTCTGTCCTCTAACGAGCGTACTTCGCCACTGCATGAAGTGTATAATGGGCGCTCTGTGATGTTTTTTATTTTAATGGGTGATAATGATATGGTAACCCCGCCTGCGCTATTGGTATACACTGGTGGGGCACCAGTGATAGATGATTAATGAGGATGAAAGCAAGTTAGTTAGCCCATCCTGACGAATTCAACTAGAAATAGTCACGATGGTTTCCAGGGGGAACCACGTGGGGCTATTTGACCCCATTACTAACAATCTCTTACCACCCCCTCCCCTTTGTTATGTTCATATGTAATGGTGACGATTAGTACATTACATCATTTAAACTAACAAGACAAGTTTGTTGTTTGTCATTCTTGAATGTTGCATAAAAAATTCAACGTGTAACACAGAGGAACTCTAAGCTTAAAATGCAGGATAGGTATTGTTATTTGGATTCAAACCATAGACTTAATAACGTATTTTCATAATCTAAGATTCAGACAGCAGTCACGAGTAGCTACTCATTTGTAAGTAAACGTTAGCAGTAATAAAATATAGAATATTCCGAATTACCCATTGTAATGCTGTCGTTTTTTTGAGGCACTATAAGAGTGGCCACATTACATTGCAATTGGTTCTGAGACGTCATTTCTTTAATATTATTTTTATATTTAGCTCATGTCTATAGATGACGGTTACTACTTTCCATCAGGTAGGCCGGCAGCTTATTTGCCTTTCTAAGTTGCATAAAAAAATGATAGATGAGAATGTAGTAGTATCTGCGTTATCCATATACGGTGGCGGGGCACTAGGAAATATGATAAGTGAAGACGAAAGCAGATTAGTTGGCCCTTCGTGATGAATTTAACGATAATCAATTACAATGGTTTCCCAAGGGAACCGCGTGGAGATCGACCTGCTAGAGACCATTTTCCATCAGGTGGGCTGTCAGCTTGTTGGCCATTCTAAGTTGTATAAAAAAAAAGTATATACCAATGGGTTTACAGATTCCTTTATTAGGGGAGATTGTTATCCCCTCCCCCTTCATACCTATTCGGAATATTATGTTAATTAAGGCGTCAGCTCATCGAATGGTAATTTTTTATATTAGAGATTATAAGGATCATAATATAAGGGAAAATATAAATTGCCTATAAACAATTAAAAAATAATGAACATTCTTGAAAGGACATACTATGGATTGAGTTGTTATATTTATTATATATTATTACAATTAGGAAGCAAACGTAAATACTATCCGTATACTAATTTCATTCAAATCTGTTCAGAGTTTGAAGAGTATAAAGTTTCACAAAGACCTGTCTTAAAGTGTACTTACAAAGTAGTAGGTAAATACCTACCCCTTTTTTTTAAGAGGCCAGGTCTTTACTATAAAATAATTTTAAATACATAATCTTCAGTATGTGGTATATTTTAGATTATTTCATCATAATCCAAATAGTGGTGTATATATGCTTTCACATATGTTGTTCAGATTCTGGACTCGGTACTAAATAATTCTAGTGGGCACTGTCTGCAATGTAATGATAAAAAACAGAACTATTAAAAAAATTCTAATATTAATTCTTAAATTGTTCTATAGAGGCAGCACAACCGAAATGTGAAGAGTTTTCAGTAGTGCATTTGACAACAAATATTGTGCAATTCTGCCTTGGTCGCAATTTTAATAGAAACTGGAACGCATCGATAAAACCCATTTTTACAGGCAACACTAAATCAATCGATGACAGCCAACGACGGGATTTCTCTCTCCGGCGATAAGTCGTTGACGACATTTTGTCAATAAATTGTAGAATAAATTGAAAATCGTAGGAATTTTCTTAGTGCTTAGTGTTAAATAAGCCACAAAAATGGCAGATAATGAACAAAAAGCAATGCAACTAATGGCGGAAGCCGAAAAAAAGTTAAATTCGTCGAAAACCTTTCTCGGGTCACTTTTTGGGTGAGGACAATGACTATTATCTATTTTGTTAATTTGTATCCCAAATATATGTTAAATGAATCGATTAATTAATCTGAAGATTGTTTCAATAATAATCATTCTTAATTTAATCATTAGTAGGTATTTAAATAATGTACAATAGTGAAATATTAATTAGTTCAATCTCTCAATGAGAAAGTGTTGCATGTACCTACTTAAATTGTCTAATCTGTTTACATTTAATAGATTCTTGGTATAAAACTACATCATTAAATTCAAACGTTAAATAGTCCTAAATTGTGGAATACTTGTTTTGAACACTAAGTATAGAACAGTTTAATTGACTTCTAGTTCATAATATACCTAACTAGTTGGGTGACTAATATCTTCGCAAATTCTAATTTTCTGTTAGTCTGCTAAAACATTTTCAATGCCACATGATTCTTTTGTATAATCATAACTAAATGACTTTCTTAGCATGCAATTATTTTTAATGTACATAATAAGTTGAGTTTTTTTACCATCATTTTTATAATTTGTAGTCTTTATTTAATTAAAGCAATTAAATATGACATATTTAATTACATCTGTCTTCAAATGATTAATTAATCATAATATTTTTTAAGCATAATTATATTGAAAAATAAATGTGAAAGAAAATAAAAAAGAAAGTAAGACATTTATTTATGTATTTCGAATAACTGTTACAGTAATATCATTTGGCAAGGTTGAATCTATAAAAAGTCTCCACTAACCCTTTTATTTTCTATAACCTAATTCCAAATTATAAAAGTCTTTAAACTATTCCTCTGAGAAATCTTTATTAAAATGACATTTTCTAAGTTGAAAATTGACAACATTGGGCACTTAATTTTATCATATTATGGTTTTTTTACTTTATTATTTTGGTAAAATTTAATATTTTTTTTTTGTAATTTATTTGTATTAATTATATCATATGCATTCCTTAACTAATTATTATGGGTATAACCTGAAAAATAATTATTTTATTTATATATTTATTATTTCCATACTACTAAACATGGAATGCTTATTAGGGAGGGGAAAAGAAATTGTTAGTAATGGTGTCTTGTCTCACCGTCCCCTTGCTAGCAATATACCCTGTCAGGTCGACCTCCATGCAGTTCCCTCTGGAGAACATCATGGTTAATTCTTATCGAATTCATCTGGATGGGCACTGTCCAACTTTCATTCTTACCTCTCATCACTCACTTTCACCAGTGTATACCAATAGTGCAGGCAGGATCAGCATTCCATTACTATCCATTTAAAAAATCCCACTATTAGAGGAGGTACTACCGTTCTGGTCAAGTAACTTAATTTTGTTTCAAGTTTTTCTTCTTTTCACCAAATTAAATGTACTTTGGTTGTGGCAAACCCAGTTATTTTGTTTGCAAAACTAAACTACTAAACTGATTTATGTAAAAATTTCTATAAAACCAATCTTGTAAGTAAGTATATCTTTTTTATTTAAAAAGAATTTTCCAAATTGATTTACAACTGATGGAGTTATGAGGTAACAATCATAAAATAAATACAACTGAATTGGGAACCTCTTTTTTAAAGTCAGTTAATAATAGAGCCATTACCTATATTATTATAATCAATATCTTAACTGGTATTCATAGTTTTGCTCCCTACTGTCACTTATGGGGTTAATTTTTCTTATTGTAATAAAAACTCCTATATTTCAAATTTTTATTTTATCTTTTTTTGTCAAATTGGAATAAACAATACATATGTATAAAATTTCATTCATATAAAATTGATTGAGGAGTTTCAAAGATGTATGAAAGAACAGAGTCATGATGACTTTAGATTTTTTTTTATAATTGAATGTCAAATATAGACATTTTTTTTCCTAAAGATGATGTAGAAAAAATTGAAAATCTATGATCCAGATATATTCTTACACAAAATCTAATCTAAATATAAATTTTCCACACTTAGCCTCTCATTTGGGCCGTTGTGTGTAGTCGTGGCTAGTACAGCCAACCTAGCTCCGCCCAGAAGCTTCCTGGGATCATCACAGGCCTCACATGACCACACCGTTCCGAGAATTTCTAAACGATGATGGGCTACAGCTTCACATTCCAGGATTACATGAGCAGCCGTTTCTTCGGCGTTGAAATAGCCTTGACATAGAGGGCTGTCTGTGGCTCCTATTTTGTATAAATGTTTGTTTAATGGACAATGGCCCGTTATTGTCCCTACCATTATTTTGAGGTTTTTCCTATCTAGATGTAACAAACGTTTTGATAGTCATTGATTCAACGTAGGCACGGCCAATTATTCTGTTCTTATTCCAACACAATTATTTTACCATTGTTGCTCTATTGCTCGTTAGTGGCTCATCAAAAGTGGAAGAGGCGGTGGACTGCTACCTTCGCGCCGCCAACCTCTTCAAGATGGCAAAGAAGTGGCCCCAAGCTGGTCAGGCGTTTTGTAATGCTGCCCAGTTACACCTGAAGGCTGGGGTGCGTCATGACGCAGCAACCAACTTCGTAGACGCTTCCAATTGCTACAAGAAGTGTGACCCTAATGGTATGTAATACCTGTTATATACATATATAATTTTATATTATACAACATATAAGAAGTGACTGGTGACAACGCTATTTAATTTAAAATTTTACAATGTTCCATCAGCTTTGTTTGAAAAAAAAATAAGCATTTTCCATATGCGATTTCACAGCCTTTATTGTTGGCTCTTAGATGAAATGAAATGAAATGAAATGAAATGAAATTTATTTGCTAGAAACATTGTAGAAAAGGTGTTGCATTTGTGAAGTTTATAAGATGTCCATTATGTTTCGCCACATCAAATGGCATGCAAATATTAATTATTGAATTTATCCATTTTCTATTTTATACAGGTACATCATATATTTAATTTTCAATTACATATACAATAAATCACTATTAGTACGAAGTGTCACTTTGGTCATGCATTACAAACAGTCAATAAAGCTACTACAAATAATAAAATAATAAAAATGTCAAATAAAATTAAAATTACAATTTAAATTTCAACTAAGTCAATGTCACAGCATTTATATTTTACAAAAACTCATTAATATTGTAAAAATTATTTTCTATTAACCATGTTTTCAATTTTAATTTAAAATAATTTAATGGCAATTCTCTTATTTTTTTTGGTATCCTATTATAAATTCGAATAGCCATTACACCGCAATTTTGTTGATGCAGCGTTGACTTACAGGTGGGTAGTTTCAGTTGTGTGGGGTCTCTGGGTGTGAATTTATTATATTCTGTCATTGTTGTAAATAAATACAAATGTTTTTTTACAAATATTCCCACCTCATAAATATACATTGAGGTAAGTGTCAAAAGCTTTAATTTTTTAAATAGAGGTTTACAAGATTCTGTTGGACCAACACCACCAAATGTAAAGCTTTCTTTAATTTTGATTAGCAATTCCACAAAATATACTACAATATTATAGACTGTTTTTAGGTATCCCCATACTGAGCAAAGACCTCTCAATTATTTCGCCAAGTATTTTTTTTTTATTCAACAACAAGCTAACTCCTTGTCTGCCAAAGTGTTGGCCTATATACATATAGTTAGAACAAAATCATCATTATCATCATATCAGCCTTTAACTGTCTACTGCTGAACATACGTCTACGGATTTTGCTAGTAGTTGCCACGCTTGGCAGGGGAATTGGCAACCGCAATTAATCTTTAGAGATGTTTTAAGAGTTGCTGCTGATTTCAGCAGCATCTCTTAAAACATCTCTAAAAATTATAAAACTTGTTATAACCCAAGTTTAAAATTATGATGATGATAACCCAAGTTTAAAGAATGTGATATGGTAGTGAAATTACGTATTATATGGAAGTAATACTTTAGTCCTTAGGTAATGAATACATTTGGACGTGGAGGACACAGTATATTCTGTATTGTCTGTAAAGCTACATGTGTCCAAGTGATAGATTACTATGGAGCCGTTCTACTTGTTTACCATTACAAATCGTATTAAAAACTTAAACTAATGCCACATTTACACTAAGATGTAATATAATAATCTAATTAAATATATTTCATTGTTAATTTAAAGAAAACGGTAGGTTCTTCTGATCAATAGGATAGAAGAAGAAAATATATCGTATTGTGTTGTCGCAAACATGTTCGTCATGACGGTATAGTCGACATGTGTGGAAATTTAAAAGTATCTTCATTTATATCGTGATAGTAAAATTGGACGATATCTTACTGTGTTTGCAATTAATAAATTCTAAAAGTAACCATTCTCATACACATTACTAGTTCTTAATATAAATATAACTTTAAAATAATAATAATAATAATATAAATTTAAAACTATATAAAATTAATGTTTTCCCCAGATACTGGTGGCCCCATACGGGTCCCCATAACTTATGGAATTCTCTAATTTATGTTTTTTAAATAAATTATCTAAAAAAACCTAATTATCCATAAATAACACTATATCAGATAGCTAAATCTGAGATAACGATACAAATTCAAGTGCTAGGTCACTATTCCAATATTACGTAAGTCTCAACTATGCGGCCTAGATTAGAGGTGACAGGTAAACAGAGATGCCACTAATAAATCTGTCTGTGTAAATATTTTTAACCAACTTGAAAAATGCTCCTAACTCTAGGGGTTTTTTTTGTCTATTATGCAATATCTTTACCAATTCAGCGTCGAATTAAATTCTTTTTTTAATCAATCAAGCTTTCTCTAGTGCTGATATCATACTAATTTTGGTCCGATTGAAAATTTATTTTCTTGTGGGACAAAAATTAAATTATAATAGTAATACATGCTATAAAAGATGCCGTTTAGTCCCGACATAAAATAAGCCACCCCTTTCTTTTCTGCGTGTGTCGTAAGAGGTGATTAAGTGATCATAATGGTCGAGGGATGGGCTGTAGTGTTCTTTTTAAAACATCAAAACCATAACTCCAATTCGCTTGCTGAACGTAACAAATACTAGCAAACACTCTCATCATCATCATATTAGCCCTCATCAGCCCGCTACTAAACATAGGCCTCCCCCATAGACTACCATAAGGAACGGTTCCGATCCACTTGCATTCACTGGCTCCCTTCAATGCATTTGAAGTCGTTTACATTACATTTATTTATTTTTTATTTATTTAAAGGAACACCAACAGCATATTGCATTATAACATATAGGTATAACAAACATTAAATATAATACAATATTAATGCACACGCCTATTATAGGTATTCACAGTATTCACTTTAACATAGTTATACAGTGCGAAATTTTTTACATTACACTACATTGCATTTGAGTGTACTGAGTCGCCACTCATGAACTTTTCTTCCCCATCAGTTGGTTGCCCATTGCCAGTTCAGCTTGCTTATCCTTCGGACTATGTTGGTCACTTTGGTTCTTCTGCGGATATATATATATATATATATATATATATATATATATATATATATATATATATATATATATATATATATATATATATCGGATTCTATAAGAAACTCCCAGCAAAGAACATTGATAGTAAATAATATTTTATCCGGATTTTTCTTTGTTCCTTCGTTCCCGATCATAAGTAGGAAACCCAATAAAACAAACACATATAGATGGCGTATCAAAATATAACATACACCAGATTTTAAGCTAGACTTTCAGCAACACGACTATGAAAATCGCATCTGATTTAATGCAGTAGTTTTTGCAGAATGTCAAAACGAACATACTAATAGATACACGTTTAGCATCTATTGGTCCCTTTTTTTTTAATATCTCTCATGTACAGATATTGTCTACTTATAATTTTGTTGTAAGAACATTGCTACAGTGTTGTTGTGTTGTTTAATCTTATTGTTGTCTTTGTTGTTGCAGAGGCTGTGTCGTGCCTGTTGAAAGCAATCGAGATCTATACTGATATGGGCCGTTTCACCGTCGCTGCAAAACAACATCAGGTAACACTTTCCAAATAGAATTAAAAGATATATTTACTTATACCCTATGGATATTTTCTTTCATTTTTTTTAATATACTGATCAGTTTGTAAAAGTATTTTTTTTTTAATGATTTTATTTGGATACAACCATAATGCGTAAAGTTATAATAATTAAACATTGGAGTCCTGCAAAAAATCAGACCTCAACTGTTCAAATTTGATCTGACTTCAAATCCAATCGGCAAAATCAGTTATTTGATTTAAAAACTAAAGTAATAAACTGATTTTGATATAATTTCTATGGGAAAAACAAATCCAAATCGGTTTACAACTGAAGGATATGATAAGACGAGGGAACAAACATAAAAAAACACAACTGAATTGAGAACCTGCTTATTTTCGAAGTCGTTTGAAAAAAGAATAAGTTTTGAGAATATATCTATGAATATGGCAACGTATGGGAGGTATCATGCGCGAAACAGTATACTCTGTTATGTACATGGTACTGCTCATGTCTATAGGCGACGGTTACCACTTTCCATCAGGTGGGCCGTCAGTTTGTTTGCCATTCTAAATTGTATAAAAAAAAAAAATAAAGAATAATTTGTTATTGCATAGATACATACACTTACATTACTTACATACACCCACTCTAACTTGACTATCTTGCTTTAGAATTATTATTTATACTATTAAAATCCATTATTGACTGTATTTATAAGAGACTTAGTATGTAAGTTATTTTTTAAAAGCTGTGGATTTTTGTATTAAGTAAATAAATAAATTACGTTCGACGTTTCCAGAACATCGCGGAACTGTACGAGACGGAGTGCGTGGACCTGGCGCGCGCTATGCAGCACTACGAGCAGGCGGCCGACTACTTCCGAGGCGAGGAGTCCACCTCCTCCGCCAACAAGTGCATGCTCAAGCTCGCCCAATACGCCGCTCAGCTCGAGCATTACGACAAGGCCATACAAATATATGAACAGGTCAGTGTGATGGGGACATACAGATGTTTTTTTTTTTAGATGTATAATCTGCTATCAGATTTTGATGTACTGAGCTCTGTAGTTTCTCATTCAGAGTAACATTCTCTAGCGAGAGCCACTCATTTTTGAATGAATGAAAATGGAATGATAACACTGCCTGCATTGTTGGTTAAAACTGGTGGAGTACCAGTGAGGCGATAGGTGACGATGTAATCAGGTCAGTTGGCCACTCGTGACAAATTCACCAGGAATAAACCGCGACGGTTTCCCCACTTGTTCCCTCCAGTGTATGCCAATAACGCAGGCGCCAAACGCTCAAACAGCGAACGGTTAACACTAGGCTCCAAGCTGCGATATATTAGTTTACTTAAAAATGCCTAAATGCCAAACGTGCGTAAATTGAATAGCGGTCGGAAATTATTGGCTAATATGGAAGGTTTGTAGAACTTCTGGTAAAATTAATAGTAGTCAATTTTCGAGCGTTGCCAATCGTATATTAAAGGTAGCGCAATTAAACAAAATAATCAACTAACCTGTGATATAGGCTTCCACAAATCTATCTATCAGTATTGAAGTAGTTATTTATTTACTTTGTCTAGTAGCTGTTCTTTTCTGTCCATGGTTTATAACAATTATTTATTAATTATAAAAATATTAAATTTATTTTATTTGTTTGCTACCTTTTGGCACTTTAACAACCTGATCAATTGTTATGAAATTTGGCATTATACTAGCTTTTAAAGCGATCTCATCCGCACTTTTATACTCTGGGATAAAGAGCCTATGTTTTTCTCCATCCCATATGTATGTATCAGACGTTAACTGACCGCTGCTGCACATAGCCCCCCCCCCCCCCCATAAGAAGGATTTTGCCAGTAGTTGCTGCGCTTGGCAGGCAGACCAGTATATAGATATTGTAACTATAATATATAGTATTTGCTATATATTACCTGCCCTTAGTTAATGGATTTTTGAAAGACCTGCAGTAAATCACTACTCTTCTTGTGTTGTTATTGTCTGTGGCAAATCCGTAATCATTAAAAATTGCTTACATAAAAAAATTTACATATTTAATATAAGTATAAATACATCCTTTAGTAATCAGTACAATTGTTTGCAGATTGCCAAATCGTCCCTGGACAACAGCCTGCTGAAGTACAGCGCCAAGGAGTACATGTTTCGCGCGGCGCTGTGCCACTTGTGCGTGGACCTGCTCAACGCGCAACACGCCATCGAGAAGTACTGCGGCCTCTACCCGGCCTTCGCCGACACCAGGGAGTGCAAGCTCATCAAGGTAACTAATGAAATAGATCTGCACTATAATTTCTCTGTATAACGCCATCTAGTTGTTAGGACACTTGATACGACACGACGAACTTATGAACATTATAATAGAAGGTAAGATAGAAGGAAGAAGGGGGAGAGGGAGACTGAGACATAGTTACATCAGGCAGATCAAGGAAGGAGTTGGTGTCGTGTCGTATCAAGAGGTGAAGACTCGCTGAAAATCGTAGTGAGTGGCAAGAGCTCCACCGACAAGAGCGCAGCTCTTAAATGGATAGATAGAACGCCATCTAGCGTTAACAAAGTACCTATGTGTACTCGTTAATTTAAATAATTTCAATAGTACATACCATAATAATAGACTATGAATATAGAAAAGGATAAATTTTTATTTCTCTTTTATTTTTTTTTTAACTCTATTTCACTTGCTAGTTTGCTTGTATTTCAGTTTAAAATCGAGTTACTCTGACATATGGGAATAAGTACTTTTTTTTAATGGGTGAAAATAGAATAGTGATCCCACTTGTGCTATCGGTATACACTGGCGGGGTACCAGTGAGGGATGATAGATGAGGATGAAGCAGATCAGTTGGCCCATTGTGATAAATCAACATTAACTACGACAGTTTCCAGGGGGAACCGTGTGGAGGTCGACCTGATAGGGTATATTGCTAATAAAGCGGCAATTAGACCCCATTACTAACAATCTCTTCCTCTCAGGAATAAGTACTGTTAGAAGAAGGTTTAATTTATTTTTTTAAAACTATATTTTTTTCTTCGACACGTATTATAGTAGGAAAAACTATTGGGTATAAGCTAAGTGTCAGTCATTGAGGTAAATAACAGGTTTTGAAAGTACAAAAAATGATGCTCAACTTTAAAATTATATTTAGATTTTTAATTGTTTAAGTTCTGGAAATAATAAAAATTAGAAACATATGTTTACTATTTCCAGATGCTTTTTACAGTTTATTTCGATATATAGATCTCTTTATATAAAAAATAAATTCTAAAATATTTCTCATTGTGCAACAAATATGCTGATTTTTTATATTAAAATCTGCAAAAAGGCGGTATTTAGGCGCTCCTATTACGAATCGAAGCAAAGTTAGCTGGCCTGGATTTCTGTATAAACGTCTCGCATCATAGATATATAATTTGGGGGAAAGGGATTGTTAGCAATGGAGTTTGACAGCCCCATTGCTAGCAATATGCCCTATTAGGTTGACCTCCACATGGTTTCCCCTAGAAACCATTGTGAACAATTCTTGTTGAATTCGTCATGATGGGCTAACTTACCTGCTTTATCCTCACCTGTCATCCTTCACTGGTGCCCCGCCGGTGTATACCGATAGTGCGGGTGGGGTTACCATTCTATTGTCACCCATTAAAAAAAAAAGATATATAATTTTGGTTCCAAAACTTCAGAAATGTTTCGTTATAGACTCCCAGACTTGTACTATTTCTAACTGACTTTATACACTTATATAAGGTATATTTATTTAATTTTTTTTTTTATTAGGAATTAATTGAACATCTCGAGGAACAAAACATAGACGCGTTCACCGAAGCGGTGAAGACTTACGACAGCATATCCCGGCTGGACCAGTGGTACACAACGATGCTCGTTCGCATCAAGAAACAAATCAACGACAACCCCGACCTGCGTTGAGTCACCCGCTTCTCTATGCCCGACGCCGTCACCGCTGCGTGAGTCTTGTCTATGGTACGGATGGAATTCATTTTGTCTATAGTCAATCGTTTTTAACGGTTTTGTTATTTAATCTGTATTCGATTAATGCGCAAAATCGATTGTTACTTAACGTTGTATTTTATTGGTAATTAGTATATTTTCTAATTTTTTTTTTTTTTTAGAACTATCGGTAGTTTAATAAGTAATATATCACTTTTTGCAGCGAACTTGTCAATAGGAATTTAATTATCTTATATTAACATATATGTTTTCTTTTATTCATATGCGCATGACAATGCAGTAATGAATAAAAGAAACTTATATTTAATTTGTTTTGTCAATTATTTTTTAAAAAGACAAAACATTTAAAGAGTTATAATTGATTTATAGCTTTGCCACTGAGCAATTTTGTTGGTATTTCTTAATTGATGGATTTAATTGGAAAGTTTATATGTACAAGAAAGGTTAAATCTACAAATATAGAATGTAAAAAATAACCACGTGTTTGTTACACTTAAAAAAAAAATAAACGTAATCAGGAAACCTTATACCAATAAAGTATTAAATATTGACTGAAGGTCAAAGCAATCAATTGTATAAATACAAAATGTTATGTACTACAACGGCGTCGGTTAAACTAATTTCCTTTTAACAATCTTGTAGTATATTCATATGCCTATTTCAATATAATGGTTAGGCGAACAAGTTCATGTTACACTATTGTTCAACGTATTTATGTACCTATATATATTAATAAATAATCTCAATTAATTAACAATAAATACATTTAAATTGAAGTTTAACATGCGCGGATCACATACAACGATGGAATAAATAATTCTGCGAGGCATGGGATTCCTTGTGTTCCATCAGTTTTGTATAGAAACGAGAATGTGAAAAAGACTCCATTTTCCGCACTTAGCCTCTCACTTGGGCCATTGTGCGTATGAGTATAGAAACGAGTTTGTGGCACACTTTCACAGGAATGACAAATATTCTGAAAATGTTGCGGAGTTTCTCAGACGATCATTATGAGAAGTGTTTGGCATGTGTATACGAAACGGTCGGCCAATTCAATCTTGTCTATATTTCTATTCTATTCTATTCTATTCTAACACAAGTGTCAAATAACACGCATTATTAACTTTCTATATAAAAAACCGAATCTAACTGAGTTGTGTTTATTCATATGCATATATATGTGTGCTGTCGTTATATTCGGAATATTGCCTGAGCGTATACTATATATTCTTTAAAAAATATATCTTTTGTCTTGATTTTATAGATATTATCACAATATCTTCTGGGAAATTTTTGATCTTATCACTTGCAACACTGAAAAAATGGCGCGTTTTGTATTGATTTAAAAACTCCTACGAAGATCTATATACATTACGGATGAAATAATTTCCTCTTCTTTTATGAAGCACCAATTGTAACTAATGACTAAGTCGCATACGACCTAGTCATTACCTTGACTAGCTAGACTAGCATGATCCATAGATCATGCTCTTTGCCTGTCCGATTTTGAACAAATTTTAAAACAATAACAAAGTATATATCAAATTGAGTTAGCCAAATGGCAATTTGGTTGATTAAATGTTGCCAGGTTTTTGACACTCGATGCTGTATCTATATAAGCTTTTTACTTTATAATAAATAGATTTATTATTTAACAGTGATCAGTAGAAGATTTAAATCATGTTGATAATAAAGTATTACATTAAAATAACATTTGATATTAAATAAATTGGGATTGAATAAATTATTAGTAACTTGATGACGCTAATGTGTGATTATACATTTATAACGATTCCAAATTGGAACGTAATTAATATTCACGTTGTAGTTTAATTCGTATATAACACATACTCCCATTGTTTTATAAAGATTTTAATGAGATCTCAATATTAATTCTATACTGAAAGAGGTCTGCTTGTTCGTTATTGCCAGTAGTAAAAATAATTAAAAAAACTTAGGGTTTTAAAGAGCCATTTAAATTATATTCTGTAACTTGATTATTATATTTTCAATAGAATGTACTATAGTAGTATCTTCGAAATAACTAATTTAATTTTGCAGAGTAGAATTTTACTTGTTTATTTAGTATTACCTCGACGTTGCGTCCAGGTTACTCGAAAAATGTATGAGTTAATTTCGGCTATTAGGCGATCAAAATGGCGGACACGAATAGATTAAAATTAAAAAAATATATCATAGTTTCTTTTTCTATTTAAGATTCAATCAATGGTGTAACATGGATATTTAGTATTCAAGATTAGGTGGTATAAATCTAGCAATTAAGTTGGGATATAATCGAAGTTTTTTAAATAAATTCGTATTGGGTACACTGCGAACGTTCCATATATTGTTATGTTAAGTACACTTATTTGAGTCCAAAGGTAACTCTTATACTATTTAATTTATATTCATTGTTTTAGTAATTAAAATCGCCTCTGTGTGACGTCTTTGTATTATATATAACATTATATTATTATTTATAAATTTGTTTAGTCATAAAGAAAAACCCCCATTCCACTACAAAATGGCGGCAAACGTCAGCCATTTTTTGTTCTTATTTTGAAAACTGGTTGTTGCCGTGGAACGGGGCCTATTCTCATTTAGATTAAAATATTTGTAACATTTATTTATATTGTTGTAAATATTGTCTGTTTCGTTATAAATAAATTTTATATTTTTAATTTCAATTCTGTTTCTTTTTCTCCCATTTTTGTTTTTCAAGATATTGTTGCTGTTTAATAGTTTTTATTGTCAGTAGTAATAAGCAGCTTCCTGGTACATTAATTGAGCTAAGGTAGCATACACACGTGCGTCGTTTCCATCGTGTGTACGTGCTCTTAGATCGTAATTGTATGGTGAGTAAGGCGAAATTACACAATTACTGTATGCAAACTAATATTGATATTGTCTAAGATACATTCGCCTTAATATTAGGCTTAACAGTTTTTGGTATTTTCTGGTAGTTATTGCATGCGACATCTTACAGTAGATGCGACATTTTATATAATAAAAAATGCTGATAAAAAAATTACCTAGTGTTATATAATGTTAAGAACGACTCTCCTTTATTTTGGAAAATGTGTTTATACTATGTTTATATTAAACAATATTTTAGAAGCTGGTGTACCGATTGGAATGATTATTTTTGGGGTTATTATTTAGCTTCATGTCATAATAATTGATATAAACAAGTAAGAAGTAAATTGTAATATCAATTCAATTTATAAAAGCTTACGTGTCAAAAGGATGACATTATGGGAATGATAGACGAAAGCTTTTTAAAAGCTCTACGATGTTTTTTTTATTCATTTTAAAATAACAAGTGTTTAAGCCTATAAATAAGAAATATTAGGGATATTCATATCAGATTTTCCGTAGGAAATTAATTAAAAAAGTGTCACGTGTCAGTAAACTTTGGGTTAAATATTTATTAGATTAGCAGTAAAATGTTTGGTATATTTCATTTCTAGCAGTTAGATGTAAGTAATACCTTTGTCTTTGTATAAAATAATTAGAAAATTACATGATATTGATAAATAATCATGTGCGATTTGTCCTGTCGATTATTGTTCAGTTAGCTTCAAAGGTGTAATAATATAAAACAAGTAAACAATTAAGTGAACAAGTAAGATTACTCATTTACTTATGAGTATATAAGTCTGTATATATTGAACTCTGTACCTTTTTCTATGTTCTTCCAACTAACTACACTAATCGTTACACGCGACTTCTCTTTCTGCGTTCAGAACTATTCAAATCTATGGACCTACCATGAAATTATTTTTGAAACAAGAATAACACAATAGTACAATTTCAACTCTTCAGGCAGATATTATGCCAGTGTGTTTACGTTGAATAAAGTATCACTCTCCATCGATATGAACGCAATTTCATCGTATACACGAAATTCGGATCGGAATTCGATTTCATGGTAGACCCTGGATTCATAAATTTTTGGTGGTTTTATTTAAACAAATTATATGTAGTCACATGTACCTACAGCCACAGTGCAATTATTACGCGTAATTTTTCTTAACTAGTTTAGACACGTGACTATTCCCACAGTTGAATACATGGAGGTGTCGCATGCAAATCACAGACTAGTATTAATGTTTTCTATTAAATAACAGTAACCAATAGCAATGGCAATTGTATCGGCACACTGATATTCGTTTCAATGTAAAATAAAGTGTTAATACTTAATTAATGTTGTATTTATTGCGTGTTCTACCACCTGTACAATGGATTGTGCTCAGAGGAATTGTTCAATATGATGCCTACAGCCACTTTTTACCATCGTACGGCTCGCCATCGACAGGGAGTTCATGCTCATGTCCTACAGCCTCAATGGTCGCGTACTGCGCTGTTTAAGAGATGTTTCCTCTAGCGAACACTCAGGTTGTGGAATGAGCTCCCTGCCGAGGTTTTCCCAAGAGACTACAGCATGGGGTTCTTCAAAAGGGTGGTAAAGAGGTTTCTTCAGAGTTGGCAACGCGCGCGTAATACCTCTGGTATTGCAGGTGTTTATAGGCTACGGTAGCCACTTACCATCAGGTGGGCCGTATGCTTGTTTGCCACCTCAGTGGTATAAAAAAAAATATTTCAATTTGTATGTTAATCTAAGAAAATGTAAATATTCTTTTTTTCTATCATAGATAATTTGCTTCTGATTTGAAATACTTTACCGTGGACGTCGTTAGAGGCGATTTACTGGTCGGATATATAATATAAATAGTAATAATAATAATAGACCTTAATGGTCCAGGGACGGGCAGCAGCGTCCCTCTTAAAACATCTCCAAAGTGTAGTAACTACTGGCAGTCTTTTAATTTTTCTTAATTATCTCCGAAGTGAATATACATCGTGGAGTTACGATTTTAATATATTAAGAAGGTAAAATAGGTCTAGCGATTTCTAGCCGCATTCACAGAGTATCTACTCCGTGGTTGAGATAGATATCGCCTCTAAGATATATATAAGATTTCATATAATAGATTGGCCAATAATAAATCATGTTTATTTTCTTTTAAATTCATTAGAATGGGTGGTCAACTGACTTGACTCATACATCCAAAAAAACTACCCTTATATAAAGTAGGGGCAAGTGAAATCAAATATTAACTTCATTTTATAATAGCAATATATATAATTATCCAAACAACTAAAATAAATTTATACATTAAAAATCGAAACAAATTACACCACATATACGAATATACCATCGTAGGGATGGGTAATATATAGCAATATCTATATATATTAGTTACAATATCTATATATTGGTCTAATATTAAATATGTTATAAAAGTTTATTATCCAAATAATAATATTAGATAACAGTTTTGTAACATAATCGGAAATAGACATCCGACTGATATGGGTGTTATTGAAACGATTGACCTTTTTTCCCCCACTATTGTCCAGAGGAACCAAAGAGGGCGGGCGGAATGAAGCATTAAGAATGAATCATTAAAACCTTTTTTATCTATTGCTAGAGACCATCCCCGTCTTAGCGTAGTTTTTAAACTGACTTCAAAAAGATGGAGGTTTTAATTCAGTTTTTTTTTTATGTTTGTTACCTCATAACAACCGATGGATAATTACCGATTTGGAAAATTCTTTTTTTATTTAAAAAGATAACTGTAAATTTATCTTTTTAAATAAAAAAAAAAGATTGATCCCATAGAAATTTTATTCAAGTTTAAAGTTTAGTTTTCAAATCGAAACACTGGTTTTGTCATAATTGAAGGTTTTTTTGTGATACAATCTTTAATTATCTGAAAATAAAGTTAATATGGACTTTATATACACGTTGATAATAAAGCTTTCTATAGATTTTTTTTTAAATATGTTTAACTTCATCAAGACTATGCATTACAAACAAAAAACTTTTCTCTTTAAAATGTTAGTTTAGAAAAATCTGGCACGGTGAAACCCAATCTTAAAGGGCATCTCAGTTCATTCACAATGCGTCAATACATAATCGACGCATTGCACAAATGAACTGAGGGTAAATGTGCTTTAATCGTGTGAACAGTATTGTAGAAAGTTTTCTGATAATGCATCAACAAAGCTGATATTATTTTTACTACAGTACAATAGGTACCCAATACCTACCTAGCATAATAGAGTTCAGAGGTGCTTCCTTATTATTCATGTGGCGGTGAATATTTTGGTGCGATACAGTTTACACAATGTATTTTACATGTTACTACAAATAACAGGATATGCGATCACTATTTTATTGCTTTTTAGCATAGTTCGTGTCAGTAATGATTTTTTAAATTGTTATTAGTCATAAAACAAACTATGGTGAGAACTATGCCCACAGAAAAACTCGGCATATAATTCGAGTAACTCGAATGGCGACCCTTTGCACGGAAGCGTAGTATGAGGTGGTCTCCACAAGATGAAGCGACGAGCTCAAAAGTGTTAAAGGGAGTCATTAGATTTAAATAGCGTAGGATTGCATATTATGGTGAAATATAAAGAAAGACCTATTTCCAACACTGGACAGCAGGTTGTTTTGTTATTGTTAAAGATGCCAAAATTGTAAATTTTTATTAAGGAACCTATGTTTTTAATAGGTAGTTGGTAGTAATGAATTTAAGCACGGATGCAAATGTTTTCCGGTCCATTTGCTTGTTTGTTCTTCCATATTGCATACAAAATAATGTTCTATATGTTTAATAACCTTAATGGTGTACCGATTCAACATACCTATGGCTTCATTAAGCATGGTAGTGGATTCTACCCCGTACAATAAAAAGATTTGTGTCCATGGGATTCTATGTAATATGTGCATATAAATACATACACATATTGTAAATACAAAATTATGTATTTATTTGTTGAAAAGATTGCATAAATAATAATTATCAAATTATTTAACAGTTCTTTTTTTATTGTATTACCTAATATGCCCATGGTCCAAACAACGAAAACATAATAAACCAAAATTATCTTCTATTATTAAACAATTATATCTCGAAAATCGATTTTAGTTGTTAATATATATTAAATCTCTAAAACTCAATCTCTAAGTATAATTAACTTTTCGGATAAAATATAATAAAAAAAAAATCTGTTTATAAATCATGGAGTAACAAACATAAAAAATGCAATCGAGTTGAGAATCACCTCATTTTTTTTAATCGGTTTATAAAATACCCTATATGTCCTAGTCTTAATCTGTTCAAATCTGTTTAACAGTCTTAGTATGATAAACAAACATCCAAACATCTTTACAAAACATTACATTCATTATATTAGTCAGATATGATATGTAATCAATGATCAGTTGTTTTTGTTAAAAGTTCAAAATGTTAGTTGATCGGCAACGTACGTGCATAAATACATACATTAGTATTGTAATGCCGTGATGTACTTGTAACTCGAATTAACTCGAACTAAGGCGACTCTATAGTATCTGAACTTCCATGACCGTGGCAACACAATAAAGAACATTGCATTTAAATATTCATCCTGAATAACAAAATTTAATAAATTCATATTTTTATGCATTAACAATATTATATTTTGCAATAATTTTATATCTGTGAAATTTGAATATTATATTTCGAAATAAATTAATTTCCGGTAAAAATGCACCAAGAAAACGAATTGGGTTCGAGTAGTGAGATGAACAAATTCGAGTCTTCTGTGCGTGAATTAAGGAAGAAAACTTTTGTGTCCGTGGCCGACATTGCTAGCTATGGTAAATATAAAAATATTAATTGACACAGGAATTTTGTTATACAGCTTTTACCCGTCATTTCATACAGATGTCCGCGTTATGTTGATTAACCAAAGAGTAATTTATATTCATCTCCATTCCCTCGATTGTTTCAAGTTTTTTTTTTATACAACTTAAAACGACAAACAAGCTGACGGCCCACCTGATGGAAAGTGGTAACCGTCGCCTATAGACATGAGCAATAGCATGGACATAACAGGGTATATGTTGTCGCCCGTTGCTATTTAGACAAAATATAATTGTCAAAATATAATTGACATAGAAATTGGTTGTACTGTTAGAGTGTCAAGAAATAAGAATGAAATAAACTCGAAGTGAGTAATAATTTTAGTAAGGAGTTTCAACACTAAAATAGCTGGTCTAGCAGTAGATTAGACCGTTAAAATAATGAAGTATCTACGCCTCCTGAAAGTAATAAAGTATCTACGTCTAAATTTAAGGATTTTTTTTATACATATTATTTTTTTTTAATATATCTTGCTATGACAGAAAATCCTAAAAACCTAATTACTTGATAGAAAGTAGTAACTACCAATTACACAATTTGCAAAAATTAAGGTATATTAAAAAAATATTAATTTTTTTGTGTGATATTCAACAAGAGATAAGTTGGAGAGAAATGGTCGTACAGAAAATCTAAAAAAAAGGAAATTATAACATTTTTTATCATGGACAGTTCTCAAGTCAACGAAAGTCAACGAAACAAATATTTGCAAATTTTTAATCGCCTTTAAAATGGTCTGCAGATTTAAAAAAAAAATGTTTTTTTCGTCATTCAACCAGATGACTTTCTTATAAAATTTAATAAGCTTTTATTTTGAAGCTTTGTTTGAGCTCTGTACGATAATTTGGTGCAGAGTTATCAACGATCAAAGCAAAAAAGTCTGTTTTAAGTTTGACAATCAGTTAGTCGGGAACTAATGATTGTACAGAAAATTAATGTAGGGTTTTAAAAACTGCGAAACATTCTCTATGATATGCAATTAGTGGGTATTGATAAAAAAAATTTGAAGTGATAATGTTGACTAAAAAATGTAAAAATTCATAAATTTAAGGATATTTGGAAAATTTCATATAACTTCGGCATATATGTATGATTAATTTAAAAAAAAATTTCGTTCAATTTTTCATACATATTAACAATATTTTTCTCTTATAATAAAAAAAAAATTGATTATTTGACCAGACTTTCCTTCAATCACCTTTGTTTTCAATGTCAATTTAAAAATTAATCTAAAAAAGTTGTTGGTGGCACCCTGATTTCGATCAAATTTCGATCTTTTAATTTTTGTGCAGCTTCAATCGATGAAATATACAGGGTGGCCCAAAAGTCCTTAGAAAAGTAAAATTTGAATTAAACGAAAACGGCGCGCGTGAGCGGTGCAGGGGAAGCGGGGGCAGTAACTTCGGTTTCTGGGAATTTAGTCGCGATGGAGCGTTTCACCGGAGCGGACCGTGCGTTTTGTGTGCGCAAGTTTTATCAAAACAACAATTCGGCAACCGTTGCGAGGCGTAAATTTCGAGAACACAAAGGTTTACACAACTTTGATGACACCCCAGCTCTCCAAACGATTAAGAATTGGGTTGCTAAGTTCGATGAGACCTGTTCGACGTTAGATAAACCGCGGTTGGGTCGCCCGAGGACATCACGTACGGAACAAAACATCGACACAGTGGCACAATCTATTCGTGAAAATCCTACACAGTCAACTCGTAAGCGTTCCAGTGCATTAAACGTATCCAGGACATCGTTACAACGGATTTTGAAGAAAGATTTACTTATGCACCCTTACAAAATTCAGTTGGTGCAAGAATTAAAAGAAACTGATGCTATTCAGAGAGTGAATTATGCTAATGAAATGTTTAATCGGTTTACTTCGTTCAATAACATAATGTTCTCTGATGAGGCACACTTCCACATTAACGGACATGTTAGTAAACAAAATTGCCGCTATTGGAGCCCGATTAATCCAAAACTTAAGCACCAGAAGCCCTTACATAGCCCTAAAGTTACAGTTTGGGCCGCTATGTCAGCCCATGGCATCATAGGGCCTTACTTTTTGAGGACGGCAGAGGGCGTGCTGTTACTGTTACTTCGGAGCGATATGTGGCCATGATCGAGGAGTTTTTCACACAAAAATTGCAAAACTTTCCAGGTTTTAATGCCCGAACATGGTTTCAACAGGATGGAGCAACTTCCCACACCTCCAATACTGCTATGCCCGTTATCCGTCAACTTTTTCCAAACAAAGTTATCTCTAAGAGAGGAGACATTTCCTGGCCACCACGTAGCCCGGATCTGACTCCAATGGATTTTTTTTTTGTGGGGCTACCTTAAGGCTAAAGTGTACGACTCTAACCCGCGGTCAATTAATGACCTAAAAGAAAACATCCGCAGAGAAATGGCAAGCATTTCAGCAGTGACGTGTCGCGCAGTCATCGACAATTTCAGAAGGCGTTTGCAAGAGTGCCGTGACTGTAACGGATTACATTTGGACGACGTTATTTACAAAAAATTATTCCCGTTTTTCTAGCTATATTTACAAATAAAAATATTATTCATAGTGTAATTAGTTTTATTTTAATTAATTTTTTTCATTACTAAGGACTTATGGGCCACCCTGTACTTTCTAAACTAGCAAAACAATTTTTTAAGCTGTCCAAAAAATGATTAAAATAAAAAAAAATCGCTTGTTTTGATGATTTTTGACAGAAGTGATAAATTTAAACCTTCGGGGCACTAAGAAAACAAAATGGCAGCGCTTTGCTACTTTGAGGGATTTTTATGGACAATTTGATGTTAAAAGTTTCCGACGATATCCTTTATTCATGCATTATAATGCATAAAATTCGAAATTATACGAAATGTTCTGAATATCCTTAAATTCACGAATTTTTTACTTTTTTGGAGTCAACATTATACCTCAATTATATTTTTTTGGAGTTAACTACTAGTTACTATCATATTACTTGGATTTTTTTTATTAATAGTCATTAATTGCGTATCGTATAGAATATCTCGCAGTTTCCAAAACCTTACATTATTTTTCTGTACGATCATTAGTTCTCGAGTAATCGATTGTCAAACTTAAAATGGACTTTTTGCTTTGATCGACGATAACTCTGCACCAAATCATCGTACAGAGTACAGATTTTTCTAAAAGTATCATCTGATAAAGAAAATATTTTTGAAGTTCACAGACCATTTTAAAGACGAGCAAAAATTGGCAAATTTTTTTTCATTTATTTGCAGATGATTGAAAACGAAAAGTTTCTAGTTTCAAGAATCGCATTATTGCATGTTTGAATAAAATAAAGTTTCTTTATTTCTTACTTTTTTTTACAAAAAAAGGCATTTTATTTTTATATTATTTCTAAGTATTGCTATTTTAATTACATCTCAACAATTAGGAGAGAGCGAAGTGACAGAAGAGTATAAAAAAGCTTACAAGCGATCCCTCGACGACCCTGAAGGTTTTTGGGGGGAGGTGGGACAAGAATTAGAATGGACGAAGCCCTGGGATCGCGTCTTGGACAATAAAAATCCTCCTTTCACAAAATGGTAAGATTTATTAAAAAATAAATATTTTGATAGTGGGCATGTCTAGTCATTATATGTATCTACTAAATAAGTACATACATTCTGTGACAATGTGGTAACAATCCATAATGCTTTTGAATACTTCATCAAAGTCTTTAAATAATCTACGTATTATTTTCATATACCACTCTCTTATATAAGTAAGGAACAAACTTATTGCTCTTTTGTGCATAATATAGAACGAGACAACGACGTTAGGCGTCTTGTTCAGTCTTATACGCGTGTAAACAAAAACATATCTATCGACATATTCATTTCTCATTTGTGTAGAGGGATAAACATACATACAGCATGCAACTAAAAGTCTGTAATGAGATAAATGTATCCTCAAAGATATAAAATAAAATAAATAAATATCTGTATATCTGAAATATTATTTTAAATTCACAAAGCGTGCGATGACGTGAAAGATATTTCAAATATCGAACATGTTCCTTGAAGAACTTTGTGCACATAGATAGTTTTTAGTATAGATTAAGAATAATACATGTCATTTTAATCTTTTTTTTTTTTTATTATTAAATTAAAAGGTGGGTAGGAGGCGAGATGTCAGTGTGCCATAATGCAGTAGACCGTCACGTGACGAGTGGTCGCGGTGACAATGTAGCGCTGGTACACGATTCCCCTCTCACTGACACTGTGAAGAAGATCACGTATACAGAACTCCAGGATCAGGTGATTGGAATGAGTTAATACTTAGTACTTACTTTTTATCTAATTTGTTAGTGATGGAACGACTCGTTCTAGTGTTGTACAAGTCACCATCGCCTCGTGAAGGTGATGATGGTTGAGAATGAAAGCTGGCCAGTTAACTCAATGTGATATAATCCACAGAATAAACCACTATAGTCGCCATGTGGTCCCGACATAAAATAGACCACCCCTTCCTAGGGGAGGACGAGGGATGGGCAACAGCGTCCCTCTTAAAACACCTTTAAAAACACTTTATGATGATGATGATTAACCACTATGGTTTCCAGGATGAACCGCACGAAAGCCACTTGGGAGACTACATTATTATTAATGTTGTTACACCCCAGTTCTAACATTCTCGTCCCCCCGCGATCGCCTGTTTTTTATGGATGATAATGTTATAATAACCCCTGTATGTATACACTGGTGGGGCACCAGTGAGAGGTGATACTTGGAAATGAAAACGCAGGTCAATTAGCCCATCGTGATGAGTACGCCTGGAATTCAACACAATGGTTTCTAGGGGAGGACCACATGGAGGACGACCTGACAGGATATATTTTTTTTTAATGAGTGGTAACTATACTATCGGAATACACTGGCGGGGCACCAGTGATATATGACTGACGAGGATGAAAGCAGGTCAATTAGCCCATCCTGACGAATGTAACTAGAATTAACAATGATGGTTTCCAGAGCGAACCACGTGGAGGTCGACCTGATAGGGTATATTGCTAGTAATGAGGCTATTTGACTCCATTGCTAACAATCCCTTTCCCCCCTAATATTGCTAGCAATGGGACTGGTAGTCCACATTATAAACAATCCTGTTTATCCGCCGTCGCTCGGTTTAGTACATCGCGCGGTTTGGCGGTTTGCTTTACGCAATTGCCAAAATCGCTTCCTACCGCGGTTTATCGCAAACCGAACCGGACCATGGAGCGTTTCAAACGCGGTTTTATTAGAGCCAGAATAAATATTTTATAAAATCTACTGAGAACTTAATTCGTATAAGTTTTTAATTTTATGACTAACACTATTGTTATTTAACCAGGTATCTCGCATAGCTGGCAAATTGGCGTCTCTCGGAGTTACTCGAGGTTCTCGGGTACTTATCTACATGCCTTTAATACCAGAAGCCATTATTGCAATGCTGGCTACTAATAGGTTAGGCGCCATACACTCCGTTGTCTTTGGAGGTATTCTTTTTTCAAATTGAGAATTGTTTACTTTTACAAATATTCAAATTACAAAAAAAAATAAGTACTTTTAAAAAAAGAAGCTAAAAAATATTGCATATCCTCAGGTTTCGCTGCACGGGAATTAATGACAAGAATCGAACATGCTGAACCCACAGTAATAATCGCTGCAAGCTGCGGTGTTGAGCCAAATAAAATTGTTAGGTAACATCTTATTCGTTTAGAATAATAAAGTACGTAGATAATTTAAATTATCTTACTAGGTTTTTTTATGCAACTTAGAATGGTAAACAACCTGATGGACCCACCTGATGGAAAGTGGTAACCCTTTGGTATGATAACTTAATCGTTTTATAAGATAGAATATTCATAACCATAGATTTAGTATAACGTTCTTAATCTAAGCTCGTAACTTAAGTAATAGTTTTAAAAGTTCTAATTCTAATGCCTTTTTAAATATGTACGTCTTATATAATTTCCTTATAATCAACAAGTTGCAGTTACTAGTAATATATAGGAATTTTTACAAACGTCCAATAAATATAAAATATCTTAAAATTAAAGGTGCAAAAAATATATTTTAAACAAATTTATTTAAACCTAACTTTTATATTTCATACAAATTTTTTTATTATTTTGAAATGTTTAGGTATAAAGATATTTTAGACGAAGCTCTATGCCAGAGCTCCCACCAACCGCGATGCTGTATTATTTATCAACGTAGGCGTGTACTTGAGTGTACATTAGAACCGGGAAGAGACATCTCCTGGCAGGAAGCGCTAGAAAATGAGCCAGTACCCTGCATTTCCATTGAAGCTAATGAACCGCTGTACATTTTGTATACATCTGGTAAGAAAATTTGCATTAATAGCTTTTATTTGTGGATATTAAATAGTATAATCATAAAATCATCACATTATAAAACATAATTCCATTATAAAAAAAAAATCATAAGAAAAAATTAGGTCTGTTATGATGTGCCATTTCTCTAAACCTGTCTTCTATAAAATAAATGTTTTAATTTGTTAACATATCTAATCTTTATTTTAAGCATTAATATGAATTACATTTCTTAATTTTCAATAGATTAAAGACAATGTTAATATATTCAGTTTATGGTAGTCCATTAAATAGTAATTTCGCGAAACTGTAATATTAGATTATTAAGTTAAGAGATAAGTTTAGAGAAATAGCACCTCAGAATCGACACCAAATGTGTTTGACTTTATTCAATTGTATTATTAATTGATGGTGATAAAAGTAGCATAGATAGTAGAATAGACTTGTAATTTTTTGCTTAATTATGCGTATTTTTATTTAAAGCAAAGTCGATTATTTATTGTTTAGGTCAATTATATATTAGAGAAATACATTGTTGTTAGCCAGCGTTAGACACTTCAATTACATTTTACGAACTAATAAATTAATATATTTATTTGGAACAGTAACCGTATCATGTAACGATAGGTCGTGTTTAATATTCTATTATGGATTTGACGTCTCATATACAATGTAATTCTAATTACCATTTGTACATAGGTAAATGTTTTGTAGGTTACAATAGTAGCATATTTTACAAGATCACGTGATGGAGTCATGGTTATAACATGGTCATGTATTCGTAGTATTTTTTTACTATTCTGAAAACCAACCCAGATTGTTCATTCTTATTTATCAAAATATAATTACAAGTATTATTTTATTTACTCTAGGCGAGTATTAAAATTAATTGGTTTTACTTTCTGAGATTAGGGGAGTGAGATTATTAATAATAGTATTCTCATTAAATAAAAATCCCTATTAAATAAAAAATCTCCAATTTTTCTAAATCCTTTTACCTCGTGCCTCGTTAAATTTTAATATATTCAAAGAGATTAAGGTAAAAAGAAAGTCATTTTTATACAATAAAACGACTATAAACAAAGTATATTTGATCGTTTATTATTATTCATGACTTTAGGTACAACAGCTGACCCAAAAGGTATCCAACGACCATGTGGTCATGCCGCTGTACTTTGCTGGACAATGCATGCGATATATGGATTAAATCGTGGTGTTTGGTGGGCAGCGTCTGATCTAGGATGGGTTGTTGGCCATTCGTATATATGCTATGGACCCTTATTGGCCGGTCTTACTTCTGTGTTATACGAAGGCAAGCCCGATAGAACTCCGGACCCTGGGCAGTATTTCAGGTACATACATATCAACAGCACCAGAGTTTTTTTTGGATTTCATATATTCGATTTTGTATAACAACATTATGGACTAGAGCTTAGAGCAATACTTCTTAACCGGTTATCTACAGACTATTAAAGAAACCTTGAAAATACCTGAAGTAATCCACGAAACCATTGGAAAAAGATTAAAGTGACAACGAGTGGATACAAGGAAACACGACGCTTGTTGTGCTACAATTTGATAAACAGATCTATGCATTTTTTATTTTTAGAATTATCTACATTTATTATATAAAATTACCAATTATTGGAGGTTATGTACAGTAACTGTAAAGGAATAATGAAATATATTGTTGTGTAAGCTGTTTGGAGTCCAAAATTTTAGTAGTATATAGTATTGTTGTCCATTGCAAGACCGAAAATTTTGGCAAAGGTCCCTAATTACTAAAAGGTTAAGAACTATTGAACTAGGTATTTAAATATTGTTGTTAAATAGATAATAGTTAAAGATAAAAATACAAATAATTTTTGACTAAAACTAATAAGTTTGTGATTTCAGGATTATCGAGCAACATCGAGTGAATGCCTTATTTACAATACCGACAGCATTTCGTGTACTGAAACGAGTGGATCCAGCTGCTAAGTTTGCCAGAAGATATTGTGGAAAATCACTGAAGAGTGTGTTTGTTGCTGGTGAACATTGTGACCAAGATACTCGGGTGAGTCTATATTTGTTACTTACAATAAATAATAGTATCTACAAATAGAAGACACATAAAACAGAAACAAAAGGTTTATTTTTATATTTTTATAGCAATGGGCTGAAAAAGTATTTGGAGTTCCGATACTAAATCACTGGTGGCAGACTGAGACAGGTTCAGCTATCACTGCTGCATGTACTGGTTATGGAGTAAAAGCCGTACCACCACATTCAGCGGGTTATCCTGTCCCAGGATACGATAGTAAGAATTTATATTTATTTGGTGCTAAAATTTGTTAATAATATTTATTTATTTTAAAATGTTATATTTTTTACTTTAACAGACGCATTTATTGGTTCAAGATATTTTTTAAGGAACTTTTATATTTAGATAGACTCTTAATAGAAAACCTAGTCAAGTGCATACGGACTCGTTCTATGAGAATTCCGTAAAAAATCATTATGTAATTTTTTTTTTGTGAAATAACTACAAATTTACGGTTTTCGGATTTTTCCCTTTACATGTGCTACATAACATTGTTTCTTGCCAAATTTCATGATTCTAGGGCAACGGAAAGTATCCTACAGGTTTTGATTCCCTTTGGTAACATCAAAATGTGCGATATAAGTGAAACATAAACGGCCGTAGAACTTTTGATTGTGTTAATTTAAAAGCTTTATTTTTTTTCATTGCTTTAAGAGATTATAAACCTGAGTATATGATATTAATTTCAACTTAATGCCTCCACGCGTTTCTAGGAAAAAGGCTCTTGACAGACGGACGGGTGATCACCAAAGTGATCCTATAAGGGTTAAATTTTTTCCTTTGGAGTTACGGAACCCTAATAAATGAACTAAAATTATCATGTTACAAAGTTGAAAATTATTTTTAGAAACTTGTACCGTGTGAATCCTTTTATTTTTACTTTAGTTCGCACACTGAGGGAAGATGGAGTAGAGTGTGAAGTTGGTGAAGTTGGGAGATTAGCTGCGAAATTACCATTGCCACCAGGATTTGCTTCCACATTATGGCAAGCTGATGAACGATTCAAAAAAACATATTTTGAGGCTTATCCGGTGAGACAAATATTATCTATTTTACCAATTGTATTTTATTTTATCTTTGCAAACTTTGACAATTATAAAATTACTATTATGTGATAATTTGTACAGATGTTTCGTTGTTTATTAGTCGATTTTAATGGATTTGAGGTACATTATATTTTTGAGTAACAGGTGAATAAAGCGTGATCCCATTAGTTAATTACAAATGTTTCTTTAAAATACGAAATATTACAAAGTAACTTTTTAAAATATAAATTGAATTATACTAATTTTTCCTAATTTTATAGGGCTATTATGATACCCAAGATGCAGGTTGGGTAAGTGCTGATGGAGCAGTGTGGGTTGTAGCCCGAGCGGATGATGTAATTAATGTAGCTGGCCATCGGCTCTCTACTGCTGCTCTTGAAGATGTGGTATTAAAACATGCGAGGGTAGCTGATGCTGTGGTTGTTGGAGCCCCAGATGTTACTAAGGGAGACGTACCCTTATGTCTTTATGTTATGAGACCTCCACAAGATGGTAAATATTTGTATAATTAATTTATTTTAAGGAAATAATTAAATTAAATTTTAAATTTATAATTAAATTTATTTATAATAAAATTAATAATTAAATTAGCTTAAATTTCTAATTATCTTGTATAGTTTTTTTACCAGACTATTACAATTACCATTGTATTCCATAAAAAACTGACTTCAATTGTGGTAAGAAACTAAGCCCCTTAACTGATTTTCATACAATTTCTATGGCACCAATCTGTAAGAAGTATTTTTTCAAATAAAAAAGATTTTTCCAAATTGGTTTACAATTGACGGAGTTATAAGATGACAAACATAAAATATACAAGCGAATTGAGAACTTTCTTCTTTTTAAAGTCGGTTAAAAATAGTATAAGTAGTAAACTATGATTGTGGAGCAATTACAAAATCAAAAATGACTATCCTAATTTACGTGTAGATTAATTTTTGCGAATATGTTGGATCATATCTTTAATAACTCTAAATCAATTTTGATTATACTCGTAGATAGGATATATTGTGATGCCGGTCCCGTATTAATTTTTAGGATGATTGAAGTTACCGAAAATAAAATGTATTCCTCTTTCGCCTGTATTGTCTTTGTGTCTTTCTGCGTAATATCTATCGCCTTTTTTCTATATATTGAAAACTGTTACTTACTTTTTATTAATGTTAATAAAATTAACAATACCTTATTGTTATTTATATAGATGAAGAAATAGTAGCAGAAAGCACCGTAACTCAAGAATTAATCGCATTAGTGCGCCATCTAATCGGTCCCATTGCGGCCTTTAGAAAAGCAGTTGCCGTACCTGCATTACCTCGCACAAGATCTGGGAAAGCTCTAAGAGGAGCTATTGCCAAGTTAGCCAGATCGCAATTAGTAAAATTACCAGCTACCATTGAAGATCCCAGTGTATTTGGGGAAATAAAAATTGCATTGCAAAAATTTGGTTATGCTATTGATGCACCAGATCCGGAGTTTTAAATATTATTTTAAATATTAAAGCAGATGTTTTAATAAGAATCAGACTAGTTATGTACTAATTTATTATTATTATTATTATGTAAGTAGATACTTACTCATACCTACCTTGTCTAGCTTTTATCTTTTAAATAAACTGTAAAATAAAAATAAAACAACTTATAAATATTTATACCTATATATGTGTGTATGTATTAAAAGATCTATAAATATATAAAACATGTTTAACTAGTAGTTTTACAATATAATTGTATCATCAAACTACTTATAATAGATCTAAAAATAATACCGATACTGCTATAAAAATCTATCCATGTTGGCTAGACAAGAATGTATGGTTATAATAATATTTTATTTGTCTATTCTCTATATTAAAAAAAATCATAAAATAATATAATTAAATGAAAATAATGATGAAGGTTGTGGTCTTTTTGCCAGAACCTACGATTACTCTAGTTTCTCATGTGATAGTTTAAGACTAACCAATTGGTGTGATTATATGATTATATGGTAATAGTGACCTACTTACTATTTTAGTTTCTTCTTTAGTGTCAGCTAAGTGAGTTTCTTCATTCTTTAGGAATAATTGAAATGTTTTCCTTATTTAATTATTTGTTATTTTTTTTTTAAATATATACATCAATTTGGTACACTTATATGTAAAAACGCTATTAAAGCTAACGTTTTTTAAATACTTATATGTTAGTCAATTAACGGGTGTTTAATCATGTTCATTGTAATAAGAGTATAAATAAAGGTATTTATAAGCATTAGGTCAATTTGCAGTTAACTTTATACACTTATATAATTTATTATCTGTTTTTTACAATTTATAAATAGCTTTTTTTACAATGTTAAATTAGCCTTTGCTGAATAGGTGGGTAGTCATTAATACTCTTTTACAGTTTGTGATATAATGTCGGTAGTCACAAGCAGTAATATAGAGTGAGCGGTATTTAAATTTTTATATTATATAATAAACACAATTGAGAGGCATAGTAATCAATATATATAAAACAAGCCAATGAATCAGATCAGAACTTAAGCACTTATGTTAGCCAGTTATTCTTTAAGACTTAATTAGGTTGAAAATATTGAATAACTTCTGCATTCAATGTTTGTAATGAGCGGTAGTAAACGAGTAGGTATAATATTTTTAAAGCATTTTTAACTTTTTATTGTATCACGTGCTTTGCAGATATTAAAGAATACCCCAAAATATATAAGGACTTATTAAATTAAAGTGACATTTATACGGATATAAATAAAGGTGAAATGACTTTTACCGCCTTATGTATATTGATAATAAATATATCAATGAGATTTTGTAATTGAATTCAATATCTGTAAGTCGAACCAAATATTTGTACCTTTAGTTAGATCATATTATGGCTGTCATAACATATTAAAGCTGACTGTAGATAAATACCTACCAAGGTACATACATAAATTGGGTGTAAGCCATCATACAATAATAATAAAATAAAATATTTTACTTATGGATGGGTAGGTATTTTATCGTATTGGTCTTTTTTTTTAGCTGTATCATAACGTTAGATTATAATGTATATTATTATTTATTTCATAATGAATAAAATATTTTGAAAAAACAGCAATGTGTAATATGTAATAAAATTCTATAATTACATTCACTGTAGTCTTTTAAATAGTCAAATTAAAATATATAACATACCCTTTTATTTAATAAAAGATTAGTGACTTATTACTTAATAAAGGTAATAACTATAATAATAACATACTGAACGTTACTCTCGTTTTGTGAATAAGAATACTCAAGAAATCTAAGTAGCGAATTTATAGAATGTTCTTGCAATTTTCTTAATTTATTATGCGATACAAGTTTCTTTAAATATATAAATATTAAAGTTATAAAAATAATATACGAGCATTGCCATACTTTTACCAAGTAAATTTTCAGCGCCGATGATTTGTGTTATTTAATAATAGAAAAAAGTGTATTATTTATTTTCAAGTGAAATAAGATAACCTAATAATTTTAAATTAATTATATTAGATATAATATAAATTCCCTACATTTTAGTATTAACAGTAACATAAAGGTATACTTTACTAAAACATAGACAAACGAATTTGTATTAAATCTATAAAAATATAAATTACGGCAAACTGTCATTACGCTGTCATTCGATAACTGTCAATGTCACTGTGATGACGCATAGTAGGTGGTAGGTTCTTCGCCTTTTTAAATTATTTTGTTTTGTAACTATATTTAAACCCTAATCCTACCTAATATAATTTGTGTAAGAACAATAAATAGAGATAATTTTGTTCAAAAATATTTTGGTACTCCCTATAATTTTACTCAAACAAAAGTGAGTGAAAGTGTTGTGGGAAAACCGGCTCGCCTATAACTGCAGTGTAAGTATTGTTCTACTTTATTTTCTTAAGATTTCACCTATTAATCAAATATGGTTTATAATTCTGCTCGAATGAATATAATATATATCTGTTTCTAGTTAGACTTTATTGAAAATATTAATGAATGTTTTTTTAAATTTTTCCTAATTATAAGTTCAATAGTCATGAATACAAGTCCTTTACCACTTCATAATAAAAAATAGGATTTATTTATTTACATTTTATGACCCTAGTTACAAAAATATATATCACAATAGCATATTGGTTGGTAAAATACTTCAACATATTATATATATATATATATATATATATATATATTTATATATATATATATATTTTATATTGTGTTGTTCTGTTATCACAATCAAATGTCAGTGTGTGATATCATATTAGATAGTGTTAAAAAACATATTCTAGTTTTTTTATATATTTAGTATTCCTATAAATAAATAGTATTAATATTAAAACAATATGGTAATATTTGTTTTTACTTTTTTATTTAATGTTCCTTATTTTTATTACCCTTTTATAGAGTTGTTAAAATTGGTTTGGAATTGATAAAATCATAGCATAGTCTAATGGTAAACATAGGCTATTTATACCTATAACACTTAAAGTGTCACACACATATTGTAACTTATATAAATCAATTTTGTAATTTTTTTAAAAAATCTCATGCTTTACTCTTTAGAAAAAGTCTCAGCAGGAATTTAGGTGGTACAACAATTTTTTTAAATTACTTAAAACAGATATATTGTTATCTGTATGCCCAATTTGCTAATAGGTTATAAATAGCAAGTAAAATACAAACTCTACTATTAGTGATTCATAACTGTTATTTTCTTCAATGTATATAAATATTACATATTATTATTATATAAGTTTATAATTCTGTATATTTGTCACAATATTTTCCTGAAATTATTACGATTTTATTCCAACTTTAATTTGTACTATTTAAAAAGAACAACATGAATAAGAAATTATGTGTATTTACTTTTTATTTATATTATTGTTTATTTATTTATTACATAACTTCTTATCAAGTATTACAACTTTGACCAATGTACATGGCAGGGCCTTATTCAAATTTATTTCATGTGAATTTGTTAATGTTATGTATATCATAATATATGTGGAAGCAGATGTGGAAAGCTGCAACAGATGTGGCAGCCCCAGCACCAGCAGAGGCTGACGATTGGGAGACAGATCCCGATTTTATCAATGATGTCACAGAGCACGAGCAGCGATGGGGCCCCGGAGGGAGGAATGTGGAGGCTATTGAGTGAGTAGAAACAGCATTAAGCTGTAAATATACTAATGGATGCATCCGTCAGTCATGGCTGATGGGCACAACCTAAATAGTACATTTATATTAAACTGTGTATATTATGTTGTTATTATCGTTGTCAGTCACAGATATGACCTTGGACGGTTCTTGAAAGATCAAATGTCAGATGATGATCTGGCACCTTAAATATTTTGTACACATATATGTAAATCCACTGAAGAAAGAGAGAAATAGCTGGACAGTCATGTACTTTTTTCAGTCACATCCTTCAGCCATGGCTGACAGACATGCCCTACAGTTTGCGTCTTTATAATATCATGTAATAATAATATTTTTTATCTAAGTGAACTTAATTATAAGCATGTTTTTAGTGTAGTTTAAAAGTCATTCTTTTATGATTTTACTGCCCATTCAGAATGCATTTTCAGTTGATTAACTTGTAAAAACTAAAACATACAAACTAATTTTATCTGTTACTGTATATTGTCACTTTCTTAAAAGCAATTAAGAATTTACATTACATACATATATATCACCGTATGGACGCGGTATAGAATAGGCCACTTTCCTGTTGGTGTTGTAAGTAGTGACTAAGGGAGGGCGAGGGATGGGCAGCAGCATCCCTCTTAAAATATCTCCTAAGCCTATCTGTGGTTGCCAATCTGTCTGCCAAGTGTGACAACTACTGGCAAAAATCCCTAAAGGGGAGGCTTATCTTCAGCTGTGGACAGTTAAAAGTTAATATTATGATGTTAAATGTCACACCAATCTACCATTGTAGTAGGCAAAAACAATAGAATTAAAATGCTCTAATTTAAACAGACCTGTTTCATTTCCTCCAGTCAATATTAATTTAGCGTGTCCTCTACCAACATTTCTCAGCGGATTTGAGTGTATCTTATTGATAATTCTCCATAGTCATAAATAGGCCACTGTTTATTCTAATTTAAGGGGCAAAGCAGTGGCTTTTAATAATAAAAGAATAATTATCATTAGTCCATTGGAAAGTTAATGACACATTGTAAGTTATAATTAGCATATAACAAATGTGGGAAGTATGTGGGCTTGTGTCTGGCTGTTGACCTTTCAGAAACTTCGTTTATTATGTGCAATTTCATGATCAACAGTAGCCTGATATTTTTTAAATTATATCGCTTGGTCAATAGGCTGATAACCTAGGATAGAAAGTGGTAACCGTCACCTATAGACATGAACAGCTCCATTGTTATCACAGATCATATTGTAATGCCATGGTATCCCCCATTTGTTGCTATTATTGACGACTATAATGACTGCGGAAGGAGGGTATTAGGGAGAAATTAATACTATAGGGTTGGTGACTGCGAGTGTTGTAAATTCGAATCTGGCTCACATAAAAAACTTAGTTATTCGAATTCAATGATAAAAATTTAAATAAATACGATCGACCGAGGCTCGCCTCCTACTGCGTTAGATTCTGATATGCTCTGCGAAAAAGTATTACGATCACCATACCGGAACAGTTGACAAACGCCTCTGCCCATTCCATTAGAAATTAAAGTCTTATATTTTATTTATATACTACTTCTATTCAGCGATTTTGTTGCCATAAACCGGTAAGTATATAGAGCATATGCTAAACAAGGATATAACTTTTTTTTTGATGGTTGATAATGGTATGGTAACCCCTCCTGCGCTAACGGGATACGCTGGCGAAGCACCAGTGAAGGGTGATAGATGAGAATGAAAACGGACCAGTTAGCCCATCATGATGAATTCATCAGGAATTAACCATGATAGTTTCCAGGGGGAACCGCGAGGAGGTCGACCTGGTTGGGTATATTGCTAGCAATGGAATTCTCAGTTTCCTTTACTAACAATCCCTTTTCCCCCTTAGGATATAACTTAGGTTGAGTAATTTTTACAAGAGTAATAAATATCCATCTATCATCATCATATATAGTTTTTTATATAGATCCGAGAATGCGAAAACTGACAAGTTGTTTTAAAAGTATTACTAAACTACCTAGATTCAAACTTAATTCTAGTGACACCCTTTGATTAGCGTAAATTCCTTTACCTCGTAAATGTGATAAGAACTAAGGGTTTCGATCTTGAATCCTCCGGTAGACGTTTCAATCTTGAAAATGTCTTTTTAACGACACGAGAAATTATCTTTTGCGTGTAGTTTATTTAATAAAATAAAAATATTAAATTCTAAAATTAAAGTCTCACGATTGTGAAATTAAATCTTTTACTTATTGAATATTTTGAAGAGCAGACACCAACCACTTTTTTTTTATCTTTCTACCTCCAATTAAAATTATTAATTGCCACATACAGGAATAAAATGTTTTTATGAATTATCAAGAATGTTGCCATGCAATTATTACATCTAAAGTGAACAAGGACATTGAGAAAAAGACAAAGGCTAGATGATATTTGTATTTATTTTATTTTTTAGTATGGCGAAGTTGCGGGAGGAGGTATTGGAAGCAGACAAATTGAATAAGCAGAAGACATACGAACAAGGACCGAAGCCGTCTTATGGGTAATATTTTCATTAAATAAAACTGACAAATCCACGATATACTTTATAACTGCCGTATAGAATATTTACGACTTAAAAAGTTCGTATAATGAGGATCCTAAATCTTTAATTGGTTAAAAAATTATTTATATATTATTTATTTATTTTATTTTAATGAGAATACATAACAAATTATAACCATGTTAGGTTTATATATAGATAATTATGGTTTTTATACTAGGTTACAATTCAAAAACATGTGTACACAGCATGATTAACGTTTAGACATAACATTTCGATTTCGACACGTGGGAAACATAATAATTAGTAAGCATTATATATGATTTACATTAAATGAAATTTATACCATAAAACTATCTCTACACAATAAAAACAGACCAGCCATCTTAAACATGAACTACATCACTAAATACTAGTAAAAGAAATACTATTTATTTCTATATATCTTCACGTCATGTCCCTTGCGGTGTAGGCAGAGAGAATCAAGTCCTAAAGACCATTATCTTTCCATATATATCTCTTGCTGTCTGCACTTTTATAACTTGTACATTTTTAATTACTAATAAATACTACTAATTAATTTTCCTGTGTGTTTTATGTTCATATGTTATTTTACCTTATTATATGTCTCTTTTACCGTGTGGTCCCGATATGGAATGAGCCACTTTTTCTTTTCCCGTGGATGTCATAAGAATCGACTAATAGTCGAGAGATGGACAGCAGTACCCTTCGTAAAACATTACCAAATGTTAACTGCGGTTGCCAAACTGCCTGCCAAGTGTGGCAACTACTGGCAAATCCCCCTTTTATGGGCTTATGTTCAGCAGTGGACAGTTGAACGGCTGATATGATGATGATGATGATGTGTCCTTTAGTGTAAATAAAGTTATAATCAGGAGTATTTATTTATTACAGCTACGGAGGTAAATTTGGTGTACAAAGTGATCGAATGGATAAGTCTGCTGTGGGACATGATTACATCGGCAAGACAGAGAAGCACGTCTCCCAGAAGGACTATGCACAGGGTAACAAATATAAACATATAAACAAGCTAGTCGTTTTTTTTTTTATGAATGATAATGGAATGGTAACCCCGCCCGCGCTAACAGTATACGCTGGCGGGCACCAGTAAGGGATGATAGATGAGAACGAAAAAAGCAGGCCAGTTAGCCCATCGTGATAAATACATTTGAAATTCAGCACGATGGTTTCCAGAGGGGAAGCAGTAGTCTTTAGCTGTGTAGGAAATTAGGAATCTACATACATTTCAATACAGAACATATTAGAAGAGAAATTTCGTGTATTAAACATTCAGAAATGATAATTTTGCAGCATTTTATATTAACAGTTTTAATAGGTGAATATGAAATGGTAACCCCGTCTGTGCTAACGGTATACGCTGGCGAGGCACTAGTGAGGGATGGTAAATGACGATAAAAGCAACGTGTGTGACGTGTGTTGTGACGAATTCCAATAGAACTAACCACGATAGTTTTCAGGGGGAACCGCGTGGAGGTCGATCTGATAGGTTGTACTGTTAGTTACAGGGAAATTAGACTCTATTATTAATAATCCCTTTTCCCCCACTAGTGCGGGTTTATTCCACTTTGGGTTTAAAACCTAGTCGAGAACCTCTTCCATCAGTTATAAGTACTTACAGTCTACATAAATACAAGGCTAAATTGAAATCGTAGCATTCTTTATGGGAGTGTTTTAATAAAACTAAATAATTGTAGTAAATAATTGAAACATTCAGTCGATAATAATAAAATAAAAAGATTCTCCCCATTGGCATAATAATAGGGTAGTAGAGCGGACAAAATGCCACAAGTCTCCAGCCCGAGAGGGAAAAATATGACCATATATTGCAAAATTTTGTAAAAAAATTGCTGTTTTTTGAATTGAACTAACTGATCTGTTTTCATCCTCACCTATCATCTCTCACTGGAACCCCGTCAGCGTATACCAATACCGCAGACTGGGTTGCCATTCTATTCTCATTTATTTAAAAAGACCCACTAGTGATCAATGGATCATTGGAAGTCAATTCCTTAACAGATCTCCAGAGAAACAGTAGTTCTGTAATGGATTATTTTTAACATGGCTAAAGTGATGAAGTAATAAGGAAGGTTTGTTTTATTAGTGTTTGATTAATGTACAAAATAAAAATAAAAAATGTATAAATAAATACATGCTCATACATGACACATATTTTTTTTTCTCTTATTCAAGGTTTCGGCGGTAAATTTGGTGTTCAAACTGACCGTATGGACAAGAGTGCGGTCGGTCACGACTATGTGGGCAAAGTGGAGAAGCACGTATCGCAGACTGACTACGCGCAAGGCTTCGGGGGCAAATATGGCGTACAGACGGACAGAGTGGATAAGGTGAGGATAGCAGGAGCAATTTTTTTTAACAGATGAAGATGGAATGCCTTACGCGCTTTTGCTATCGGTATACAATAGCGGGGCGTTAGTTTAGGATAAGAGGATGAAGACGAGGGCAGAACAGTTGACTTATCGTGGCTAATTCACCAGCAATGAACCATTTATGTTCAGCAGTGGATAGTTAACGGCTTATATGGTATGGTTTAAAGTTTATAAACCTTTTCTTCATACCTTATAATGCGTCTTGATCAATGTTTCCTAACCTTTTTTGTGCCATGCTCCACTTGAACATTTCTAAAATTTTTATGCCCCCATATATAATTTTTCCCGACAAAGTTTACTTGATGACTCTAATCGCCTAAGTGGAAATTTTGGTAACGTCAAACAAAATTATACCTAATAAATATACACAGCATTTTTTTTTGTTAAATTTGGCACCGATATCTACTCATAGAATTTAAATGGCTCTGAGCAAGAGGGTTAACATCGCTTCATGTCCAATGTTTAATCCCCCCTCCCCCCCTAACCATCAAATTACCCCCCTGTGGGGCGTGGGCTCCACGTTGGGAAACACCGGTCTTGATAATTTGTAATAACTTATGTATGTAGGTACTATTTACATGTAAAAATTTTTCAACGCATTAAGTCCCGATAGTGTAAAATATTATGCTAGCTTGTCTTGTGTTATATGCGTCACGTTATAAAATAGTTTATTCGTTTAGAGCGCAGCCGGCTGGGAGCACCGCGAGGAGGTGGAGAAGCACTCCTCGCAGAAGGACTACTCGGTGGGTTTCGGTGGCAAGTTCGGTGTACAGACAGACAGGAAGGACGCGTCCGCTGTCGGCTGGGACCACAGGGAGGATACCCAGCACCATCACTCACAGAAAGGTAATAATTCTGACAACACTACATCACTCTCATATAGGAATGAAATGCCGTGTGTGCTCTAGCATAGAATGGGCCACCCCTTTTTTCCGTTCGTGTCGTAAGAGCCGACTAAGGGAGGGCGAGGGATTGGCAGCAGCGTCTTTGTTAAAACATCTCTAAAAGCCTAACTGCGGTTGCCAATCCGCCTGCCAAGCATGGCAACTGCTGCCAAAACTCCCCTCATGGGGAAGGCTTATGTCCAGCAGTGGACAGTTAACGGCCGAAATAATAATATACTTACACATAAAAACAAAAATGTTATAATTATAAACTAATATTGCAGATTATGCTATTGGTTTCGGCGGTAAATACGGCGTACAGACGGACAGACAAGACGCGTCAGCGGTCGGCTGGGACCACCAGGAGAAGACCCCGGCGCACGCCAGCCAAGTGGACCATAAGAAGGTATTTACCTATTTTTTTATTGATGGCAACAGTATAACAATAATTCACTCTTGCGCCATCTACGCACTTCTATGTGTTCTCCTTTAATCAAAGGTTGTAAGAGATTGCCCTAGCGATAAGACCGCCTTTTCTACCTTTATGTATATATTTTAATCTGTACTTTATCCTACTATGATAGCCCACCCTTGAAATCAAAACGTCCATGGAAGCACAGCTGCTAGAGGTACCTACGAAGACGTCTTTTGTACAAAGACCTGAGGGCCTACCATGAAATATTTTCCGAAATTTCGGCGACGAACGAAACAGAAATTTGATGTTAAAATTACATAACACATGCCGTTTAAAATTATTGAAAATGGTAAAATATCGTTCCTCTGGACTATTAGGATAGGATAGATATATATTTGAATTCTTAAATATTTTTCTAAACTAGGTGACATTTTGCGGAAGTCCATAGAATAGAATAGAATAGAATAGAATTTTATTGCTAACTGTTTACATACATATAGCAGTAACTATTGCTTTGAATTTGACATCAGTATCAACAGTTATACCCTATCGGGCGTGCAACAATTTAAGAACAGGCAATTATATTAACATCGAAACATTCAATACTATTACCATTACTTGATTACAAATAAATATGAAATATTTGACAATACAATTAACAAGACAAAGAATAATCATAACCAAATTAAAATAAAATAAACATAATTTCGCTTACATGTCAATGTATATGCCATATAATTATTAACCAATAATAATAATAATGATCTATAACTAATGATAGCGGAATTAAACAATTTTTTTTCTAATCAAATTATCAGTCTTATATTTTTGTCTTACAGGGCTTCGGCGGCAAATTTGGCATCGAAACGGATCGTGTCGACAAATCAGCGCATAGATTCGACGAGGTGGAGAAAGTGGGTACTAACTACACGAAGCAGAAGCCGGACATAGGTGGCGCTAAGCCGTCCTCCCTACGCGCCAAGTTCGAGAATATGGCCAAAGAGAAGGAACAGGTGAGGAGTGTTCCACACTACCTACTTTCAACTAATAAACTTAAAAAAAAGAATAAAGTTTCTTTTTTATAACACGGGGCAAAAGGGCAATGTGGGTCACTTGATGGTAAGCGACGATCGTCGCCCATGATCACCTGCAATACCAAATATACTATAGGCTAAATGACCTGCCTTTTCATCCTCACCTATCATCCCTCGCTGGTGCTCCGTTAGTGTATACCGTTAGTGCAAGCGAGGTTACCATTCTATTGTCATCCTTTAAAAAAATAACAAGGCGGCCATCTGTGCTGTGCTAATTTGCTAAAGTCTGGTTCAAATATATTTAGTTTGTTTATTCTACAGGAAGAAGAAAATATGTAATAATAATAAAAATATAGCTTTTATTTTTTGTTGTTGTTAGGAAGCGATGCAATCAGTACAGAAGATAAGACAGCAGAGGGAACAGTTGGACAAAGATCTCACGGAAAAAGTAAGTTTTTTTTAAATACTGTTCTGTACAATACAATGATATTCCTTTTATACCACAAATGTGGTAAACAAGCATACAGCCGGGTCGATGGTAAACGGCCACTGTAGCCTATGGACGCCAACAACACTAGGGGAGAAAACCTTGGCAAGGAGGTCATTTCACAGTCAAAGCGTTTGCGGGAGATAATTCCTTTGAAACCGCACTGTATGGGTTCCCTGTGGATGTAGAGTGATTATTTCAAACAATTCTTCTGAACATAATTCGTTATACAAGCGGTAGATGGTATTATATACTTATTTTAATACAAATATAACTAGGTACTCATACGGGCGAAGTACATTTCGAATATTTAGTTATAAAAACTTATTTTTTTTTCAATAGGAAAAAGAGCGAGTATCGAAGGAGCCAAAGGAACAAGAGTCCCCGCCAGATGTCGCCCAGTCTCCCCCCGCGGCGACCAAGGAGCCAGCGTCCGTTCCCCCCACCGCCGCCGTCGCCGCCGCCGCTGCCGCTGTCCCCGCGGACGAGCCCAAACAGCCCAACTTGCCCGACGTTACTCTAGTGGGAGAGCCTAAGGAGGAAAGAGAGGAGGTAAGTTCAATTTATGTATCCCATACTTGAAATACGATGTATGGTGCGCGTAGGAATTGCACGATCTGAACTTGTTATCTCCTTTCTACCATCGAACCACACGTCAAACACCGTTGGTAATATATAGTAATACCTATATATTGTTGTTACAATATCTATACATATATTGGCCCATAAACAGACATATAATACCTACAAGAAGAACTCGCTATAATATGTCCAGAAGAACTCAATATATACATAGATATAATTTTACAGTCTTTGCCAGCACTGTAAAATTTTGTATATACATTGCGTCTATTGGTGAAAACCTATAAGTGACTTCATTGTTGTCACCTTGCATTTGTTTTTTATATAAATAATTCTTGGTTTTCCTTTTACAAATAAATTTGTATTTTGATCAATCGTGATAAATTACTAGAAATTGATTAATGCTTTCCGGAAGAAACCGCATGGAAGTCGCGATCTAACTGCGTCTTACTTGCACCAAAAACATAAAAATTGTCATATATTGTCTTTGAGGGTACTTGGAAATATTCAGTCTTGTTTTACGTCAAGTCAAATAAGTAAACACGCGTGTTCTCCCTAATTCAGTATTCCCTGGCTGTTATATATTAAAAAAATGCAATGACAATTAGAAAATTCAAGTGCAATACATTAGCATAAAGTACACATCAAAATATGCCAGAGGGAGATTTTGTACAAAAGTCGTTTGCTTGGGCACCTCTGTCTAATTCGTGTTTTTACCGTGAAACAGTTGTGTTTACATGACTGTGTTTCGGTTTGAGGGGTGGGATATGGTGTGAATTTACAGGGTACAGAGAAATAACACCTGGGTCCTCAGGAATGAAACATCTTTAACAATTAGTTAAAGAAGTTAAGTTTGAGACTTACATTGTTCACATTTTTGCTCGTTAAATAAAATAGTGTATAAATATAAATTTATGACCAGCAACAGCTAAGCCGGCAGCCGACGATCGTGGTGTCGCCGGTGGGGTGGGAGGGCACGGCGGGCGGCGCCGGTGATGGCGACGATGATGACGAGGAGGACGCGTACACCGCGCGCGCCCTCTACGACTACCAGGCCGCCGCGCCCGACGAGATCTCCTTCGACCCTGACGACATCATCACCAATATTGTCATGGTCGGTATAGCTTTTGAAAGATCATCTAAAATCATTAGGTGGTCATTGTTATGTCCAATACTCGCATCTTGAGATGATGGAACGTTTTAAACTAGCCACCCGCCCCGGCTTCGCGCGGGTACACATTACATCACATCACATTAGAGACTTCTAAAATTATCAGTGTTTCTCTACTATATTCTGCATGTATTATACATATAAACCTTCCTCTTGAATCACTCTATCTATTAAAAAAAACCGCTTCAAAATCGGTTGCGTAGTTTTATAGATTCAAGCAAACATAGGGACGGACAGACAGCGACAGCGACTTTGTTTTATATTATGTAGTGATGATGAATATTTATAAAAAACTTCAAAATACGAAAACTATCTTATACATAAAAATCTCATATTACAGTTATTGTAGACGTACTTCTCTAAAAACGACCGATTTTTATGATTTTTTTTATGTATATTTGGTAGGTATCGTCGTGTGGTTCTGGCATAGAATGAGCCACACCTTCCCTTCCCGTGGGTGTCGTAAGAGGCGACTAAGGGAACTTAAAGGTCGAAGGATGGGCAGCGGCGTCTCTCTTAAAATATTACCGAAGCCTAACTGTAGTTGGCAAAACCACAGTTAGGCCGCCTTCCGCCTACCAGCGTGGCAATTACTGGCAGTCTTTCATAAGGGGGGGGGGGACAGTTAATGGCTGATATCATGATGATTTAGTAGGTATGAGAATAGGTCGTAAAATATATTTCATACTGCTAGGTTATTAGGGTGTCCCTATCAAAAAAAAAAAATTTATATGGCAAAACCAATTTTTTGAAATTTTCTGGGTCAGGTAGTAATTATTGTAATTTTATTTATGATGTACACAATTTTGAAAATACTTCAAATTAATTACATTTTTCTAAACAAATTTTAGAAAATAGATTATGGTACATATTGATGTTTAAAAATTACAGAAAAATAGGGCCTTCTGGGTATAAAACTTATTTTAGATACAGAGCTGTCGTCAGAAAAAAATAATAATAAAAAATTAAAAATACACTACTCTCTTACGAAAATCCTATAGTACTGTATTAGGAATGTAATTATTATGTAATTATGTAAAATTCTTTTAGATCGACGAAGGATGGTGGCAAGGGTTATGTAAAGGTGCGTACGGACTGTTTCCGGCCAACTACGTGCAACTGCAGGACAAATGAGCTAACATGTGAACCCACCTTATCATTCCTATATTTTATAAACGAAATATTATATGATCATACTGACGAGACAAATTAGATTTAAATCAATTCTACTTAGATTAGATTTGATTATTTTCAAAGACTTTATAATGTAATTCATGTCTTAATTTCTAACTTTTTTAATGAAAACAAAAAAATCTTTTTAGGCAAAGGTATCACACTCATACAGCTATTGACAGTTGGATAAATCGCATATTATATCAGTTGTAATTTTTAAATAAGGAAATATTTTACTAATATGTTAGAAATTAAGATATGAATTACAATTTAGGAATAAACCGTAGCCTTTAGGCTATGAATAATTCAAAATAAATGATAGTTGAGGCTCGATTTATATTAACAATTTTAACAAAAAATATATCTATAGCATGTTTTTTTTTGGCATTACCATGGTCTAAATGTCTAATATGGTGTATATAACATACTTATGTCTAATGGACTATGTTTACAATTATAAATTGAAGGCATATTTAGTTTATCAAGAAAAAAAAATGCGCCAAAGTTTCGTCAGTTTTGGGGCAAAGGAATTCTTATAATCGACTGGTAGTTACCAGTATTTTGGACGACTCTAGTTTATGCGGCGGACTTACTACGTAGTCTATGGTATGTATCTTGTTTTACCACCACAAGGTTATGGTCGCCGCGTAAGAACGTCTATAGTGTAAGTGATGTACTTATGACAAAAAATATATGAAAATATAACCTCAATATTATGAAATTAATGAATTGACTAATATGTAGGGAATTGCCTAATACTAGTTGCGTATAAATTGAGAACTATTCGTAATTCTGAGTGTGTTTAAATATATTCGGACCGGTGCCGTTTTAAGGCGGTGTTATTGTTAGCGATGGGGACAAGTGTCCCCATTACTAACAATAGTTCTCTCCCACTATCGCTATACTGGCAAGACGACTTAGTTGCTTTGGTATATTTTGCTTTGTACACATCGTAATTATGTCAATTTAAAAAAACAATTGATAATTTTTTTAATGATTCCGATTGGTTATTTCATATATTTGACATTTACAATTGTATGCGTTAATTACTCAATGATATTGTTATTAAGCTGCCATTGAAAACTTGGATTTTGCTGGCAAAATATATTTAAAAATCTTCAAATAAAAATTAAATATGTGCAATTACCAATGGGAGATTTTGTACAAAAGTCGTTTGCTTGGGTACCTCTGTCCCATTCGTGTTTCAACCGTAAAACAATTGTGTTTTCATGGCTGTGTTTCGGTTTGAAGGGTGGGATATGGCAGTGAATTTACAGGGTACAGAGGAATAACACCTGAGTCCTCAGGAATGGCAACGCATGGGGAGTATCGTGGGCGAAACAGTTGTATTCTGTTATGTTCATGGTAGGTACTGCTCATGTCTATAGGCGACGGTTACCGCTTTCCATCAGGTGGGCCGTCAGCTTGTTTGCCATTCTAAGTTGTATAAAAAAAAAGGTGCAAAGTTTTTAATGGTTGATTTATCCAATGTATTTTATGAGTAACGTTATACTGCGTTAGCAGAGTACTTTTTAAATAATCCGACAGAAATATTGAAAAATGTTAAATTGTTTTTGAAAATTGTCATATAATTAACCCTTAAATACCTGAAATTTCAAATTTGATACCGGGGTTATAAATCGCATTGGGCGCCTACAATCGATTTTATTTTATTATTTGGCTGTTTACATGTTACCAAATGTTTTTTCAAAATGAATATATAAAAATATCGTTTTGATTTTTTTACTATTTTTCCCCATTAGTAAACACAGTAAAGGGTACACTTATATATTTTTTTAATTTGATTTAAAAATCAGGCTTTTAAGGGTTAATAATTAGATAAGACAGTGTTGCTACACTTCAATAAGCAAAATCTATCAATACTCTTAAAGGAGTAGAAACTTGAATCCTTAGTCCGTAACCACAAGAAATACGAATATTTAATTATAATAAATTTATCGATCAGTCTGTACATTAAGATATGGGATTTTTATATACAAATGTAGAAAGAAACTTTTCCAATATGTTGTATTTATTTTTTATCATATCTTTAAGTATTAAATATTATGTAATTGATAAATATTTAAGTTTTTTTTTTATATGGGTATTGATAATGGTAGTTTTTTTTTTTATATAATCTATGATTATAGCCTAAGATCCCGTTGCTGATTTCTGCAGATATAAATCTTTTCATTGAAACTTGGTTTAAAAGATGAAAAGATGACATAAATTTAATACAGTGCACCAGGGTTGCCTGTTCCCAGATAACCACAAATTAGTGTTGCCAAATGAAAATAATAATTTTGCTAAAAGTGAAAGATGAACGAAAATCTAATACAATGTACTCGTGTCGCCGCAAACTATTGTTGCCAAGTGAAAATAAGTAATAATTTTAGTAAATTTGGTAAACTTGATATGTTCATTTATTTAACTACTAAACTTTTTTTTATAAATATTAATCTTGCAAGGTTGCAGATTAAAAATGGCCGCAATTAAGAGTTGTTATCAAGTAACAGCGACGGAATTTTAAGCTATTAGTTTTACATTAACCGCTATAAATGCTCTTTATATTTTGACTTTCTACTTTATATAAGTTTTTTATTTACACTTCTATTAGTATTTTCAATTAATTGAGAAAAAGTATTATAAATTTAATTATAAGTTTTATTGACGCACTTGTTTATTATTATTAATGCAATAATTTATTTTCAAGTATTAAATAAATCATTCATTGTAACTTAATAGTAATTTTAATTGTAATAGTAGATATTGGGGTCGATTTTGATGAGACATTCTTCCAACTTATCTCTAAAATTTCAGTTTAATGTCACGGCAAAAACTTCATTCTAAGGATCAATATGAACCTACAATTCTAATAGATTTACGTCATAATTATTATAAATTTAGTTTATGACGATTTATAACACAGTAATTTTGCGAAATCATCAATTTAAAATACTAGATTAAAAGATCGTCATCATCTCAGCCATTATGAACAGATAAACTGCTGAATCCTGCAATGTACTTGAAGTCGTCACTCCATCTAGTGGGGGATCGTCTATCACTGCGTTTGTCCGTACAGGGCCAGCACTAAGAACCATCCTTCCCCATCGATTGTCGCTTCTTCGAGCCTTCTTTGGCTTGCTTATCCTTCTGGCTATGTCTGTTACTTTGGTTCGTTTGCGGATATCCTCGTTTCGGATTCTATCACGTAGAGAGACTCCGAGCATAGCCCTCTCCATAGCTCGCTGAGTAATTGAAGCTTAAGAGATCAGAGAAATAATGCCTCAGAATCGACCTTATTGGCTTATTGGGTGAATAAGAAATAATTTTTATACACGATATTGTTATAAATACAATAGTGAGTTTGTATGTTATATTTTCACTACCAACTACTGGATTATTTTGTGTGAAAATTGACAGAAGTATAGTTTACACTAACGTGAACACAGTATGCGGTTATTATAATTATCACATATGCGGAGTCACGTGCAAATAACTAGTGTTAAATGTAGTCGCTACTGTAAGATAGAAACTTTTTAAGAAATGCTCCAATATTTATGACATAGGTTTAATTATAAAGCGAAATAGAAAATTATTTTTTCATGAATAATGAAAAATCATTAACCATATCATGTTTTTTTTTTTTATTTGAAATCTGACACGATTTATTAAAAAACAAAAATGTTTAATTTGCTATGTTATTTCTCAATGTAATGATGTCAATAGATATATGTATATATGAGTCTTACATTAGTAAAATGTGTTTAAAATAAAATATTTTACAAATGTTGAATGTAGGATTATTGTATGACCCACACTACGTCGAAATGGGTATCATGTTTTTATAATAATAATAAACTCTTTATTGCGCACAGTAGAGATGTATACAAGGAGTATTTATACAGAATGTGCATATACAAAAGGTGGCTAACCAGAGGGAGACTGTACAAAAGTCGATTGCTTGGGTACCTCTGTTCCATTCGTGTTTCAACCCTGAAACAATTGTGTTTGCATGGCTGTGTTTCGGTTTGAAGGGTAAGATATGGCGTCAATTTACTGGGTATAAAGGAATAACACCTGAGTCCTCAAGAATGTCAACGCATGGGGGGTATCATGGGCGAAACAGTATACTTTGTTATGTCCATATTACTTCTCATGTCTATAGGCAACAGTTACCACTTTCCATCACGTGAGCCGTCAGTTTGTTTGCCATTCTAAGTTGTATAAAAAAAAAGCAATCTCTTACAGACAACCAAGTTTTTCAGCTTTCGTAAGCTTTAAATAGCATAAAGTCGTTAATAGTCTGTCTCTCTGTTGATTTTTCTTTTAAATTATGCAACGAATTTTTATTTCTGTTTTGTTGTCATTTAGATATTTTTGTAAAAAGATTTGTATATGTCTAATACATACGTATTAAATGTGCGCGAAACCAGGGCAGATTTTTTTTTGTAATTTCGAACGAAGAGGTAACATTTGAAACTACAGAATTTTATGTATTTAGCTCTCCATCTAAGCCAGCGATCTATTGCTCCATATTCAATACATCTGTAAATGCAGTCATAGAAAATGAGTCTTTGTTACAACCGTTTATGGTTGAATTTACAATTGAACTATTATATTTTTTCCTTATCTCTTTATCAACGTTTATGCAATTAGTAACTTGTTATATAATTGTTTCTAACATATACAGTAGTGTGGGTAGACGAATAATGAATGTAATATACTTACGGTATGTAATGCCAAACTATGTTTTATATAAAGCGATTTATTGTTTATAAAATAAATGATTATTTTATAGTGAAAATATTTGTTTGATTTAAAAAAAAAAAACACAAAAAATACCTATTTTTAAGTTTTTAGATTTTTAATTAGATACCTTTGTGTGCCTAGGTAAATTTATTACTATATCCATTTGTGTTAAAGAGAACTTAATGATCGAGGGTTGGGCAGCAGCATTCCTCTTAAAACAACACCAAAGCGTGCAGTGTGGTCCCCCCTCCCCCTTAAGGGAAAGCTCTATGTTTAGCAGTTTGTCTCAAAATTTATAAACATTCAGGTCTAAATCTTCCGAGTTTTCAGAGTCAGTTCTTTTTTTGGAATTGGTAATCCTGTCCTTCATAATCAGTATATACTAGTGGAGTACTAGTGAGGGAAGATAGGTGAAGATCAAGTCAGGTCAGTTGGCCTCTCGTGTTATCGTCGAAATAGTCATAATATTTTTTTTATATATGATGACATTGCTAGAGCTACCTAATGATTTTGTGTAGATCAAAAGGAGCACAAGAATTTCAGTTGTATGAATGAAAAATGATTATCAATTAAATTTCTACTAATAGGTAATTTAATAACCCTATTTAGAAACTGAAAAAGGAATACTAGTGTACTAACAATACAATGATAAAATACAAAACACCACTTCGAAAACGACTCGCAAAATTTCTATCAATCCAGTCGTGGTACTCCGAGACTCTTGTAAACAATGTCGTCAAATCAAAATTTTTACCACTGACAACACCAACTAACAATCCGATCTCGCCTTCTTCAGCAGGATCTATGGTCTCGTGACACACCAAAGGGCCCCCGGAGTCGCCTTCGGCAACGTCCCTTAACGCAGAATCCGTACATATAAAGGTATCCATATTTATCTCCCATAGTCTAGAACACGTATGCCTAGATAGAACAGATATGTTTGCCATAAGCAATATTGGTGAAATAGAGTCATCCACACTACTGTTCGTCTTGCCGTATCCACTGGCGACGCATTTCGTCGCGTAATCCGCCCTCCATTTCGCTGTCCTAATATAATCGATGTTTCTATTGAACATCCATATTTTATCAACGAAACACAAGGCTATATCATTCGATGGGAAGTGAAACTGTCTATGTATGATCACTCTTGATATTTTACGCCATTGTGTATTCTCAGTAGTTTCCGATTCTCCAGAATGTATCAACTTTGTACGCAAACTGCCGGCGACCGCTCGTATGGGTCTCGGATTTCGAAGATAATAGAAATTGTAGGATTCGAAACAGTGCGCCGCTGTGAGCACCTTTGATTCGCTAATAATACTCCCGCCACAGAAGCTGGCCCATTCTATTCTAGTTCTAGAAATCCTCCGGAAGGGCTCCTTCAAAGAAACTAAGTAAGGGAATTGGTTTTCTCGCGCTGGTTTCCCATTCACAACGGTTGGTTTTACATAGTACCTCGAGTATTTCAGTGTGGTGATCACGCGTTTGTCTCGTTCAGATCCGGCGACAATTATCAATGTAAAAAAAATCACTGCAACCCATTTTAAACACAATCGATAATGAACATTGAGAATTTTGTGATTATTTACTCAAAGATTTTTATGTGACGTTGTTTGAAGTGAATTTGACAGAAATATGTCTAGAATACTGGAACCTCTAATCAATTTCAATCTATACTCGTATTTAGTACTTTATTATCTATTAGCGGTTTCTGTTATGACACAAAATAGGTTGTAATTTATGATAAAATTAAGATGGTATCAATTGGGCAGTAAAAAACTTTCGTATGCAAAATAAATTATAAAAATTCACAACTTGTGAAGATATATAAGAATAAAGTAAACTTTCCCTCCAATTTGTTTGTATTAAGTTTCCCAAATAGGGGGTGGGGCCGCCGCTAGAAGTGCGGTAATAGTATATAAGTTAATCTGTAATTTATATATTACTAACTGTCTTGGGAAAAGGGGATGTAAGGGTTTATGTACTAAATATTATATATATATATATATATATATATATATATATATATATATATATATATATATATATATATATATATATATATATATATATATATATATATATATATATATATATATATATATATATATATATATATATACATACATATATCGTTATCATCGAAAATAGAGAAAGAAAATAGAATATAACAAGAAGAAAATCACGCCTCACTCTGATTAGCAAGGCATAGTTCCAGTGACCCGAAGTTAGTCGCCCCCGGAGTTAAAGCTGGGGCAAAGGGGTCTACCTCGAAGCCCCCTAACCCTCCTAAGAGGGTATAGAAGACCGCTGATTGACTAACCACCTTAAGTAGTCTAATGTATTTCATTTAGGAAATGTGTAATGTTCCAGCAAATAAATGTATCTCAAATCTATTTAATAATTGTAAGAGTTACTTGAAATTATATTACTATTTCAGCCGTTAACTTTCCATTACTGTACATAAGCCTTCCCCATAAGGGGAGTTTTGCCAGTAGTCGTCACGCTTGGCAGGCGGATTGGCAACCGCAGTTAGGCTTTTAGGGATGTTCTAAGAGGGACGCTGCTGTCCATCCCTATATGAAATTATATATTTTAATTTAATAACAATTCTGTTTGTCCACCAAACATGTTCTTGTTTCTAATTAGCAATCATGAAGGGTATTCCGCTGCCGGATTTAATAACCGGCCGCCGTCTTGCGCTCTTTAATTATAAACTTCTTTATCAACCGTTTGTCTTAATTTCCTTCAGAAGGGGCCCCATTGCATAAACATCAAAATTCGGACCATTTTCAAGATTAATTACGTCTATGATAGTGCCCTTATTTTGTACATTATGATGAAAGACGGAATGACGTACCGGTTGTGTGGATTTGAATGAAATTTGGCATGTGCATAGGCAATGAAAATGGAATGGACAATTTTTAAATATCCTTTTTTTAATGGATTATAATGAAATGCCTCCTGCAGTAACAGTATTCGCTGGCAGGGCATCAGTGAGGGATGATAACTGAGAATGAAAATAGGTCAGTTAGCCCGTCGTGATGAATACATCTGGAATTCAGCACGATGATTTCCAGGGGGATCACGTGGAGGTCGACCTGACAGGATATTTTTAGCAATAAGACTAATAGTGGGGGTAGCTCTCATTGCTAACAACTCCTTCCTCCACATCCTGAGTGTGTTTTCCATCCTATCATGTTTCTACTGTAAAGCAGTTGGGTTCACATTGCTGAGTTTCGGTTTGAAGGGTGAATTTATAGTGAAATATGTTTACTAATTGGTATACAAAGTAGCCTAGATTCTTCTTCATTTTACATCCCATAGTGATTGGTTACACCATTAAAGCGCTATAAAGTAACAAACAAACAAATAAATTTTCACATTTGAAATATTAGTAAAAAAAAGGGTATGATAGCATTAAAAAATAAATATTTAGAACAAATTTACTAAACTGCAGTTTCTATACACTGTAGGCTGAAGTTTAGCAGATTGATTGCAAATGGAATTGAATTTGAATACGGTCACCGTGTGTCATTCAGAAAAAAACAATAACTTGTGATAATAAAAACGCACATGACAATGACATATATACACTAAGTATCAATTTACAAGAGCATTAAACATTTTATTTTTCTTTTAAAAGTTATAGATAGATAGATAGATAAACACTTTATTTCAAAAGTGTAAAAGTAAAAGTAAAAGTCATGAATATTTTAAATTTTCTCACAATATTTGTCCAGACGGTGATGTGCGAAGAAAAGATATTTGAAATCACTACTTTGAAATACTGAAATTATTTGTCTTTATATCCTATTAATATTATAAATGCGAAAGTTTGTAAGATGAATAAATGTTTATTATTTTTTTACGCAAGAACTACTCATCATCATCATCATCATTTCAGCCATTACCCGTCCACTGCTGGACATAAGCGTCCCTCATAGACTGTTATAAAGAATGGTCCTAAGCCACCTGTATCGACTGACTTCCTGCAATGCATTTCAGGTCGCCATTCCATCTACTGGGGTTCGGGGCGGGGGGGGGGGGGGTTGCCCTACACTTTGTTTGCCCATACGCGGTAGACACTCAAACCTTTCTTCCCCATCGGTTGTCGGTTCTTCGAGCTATGTGACCAGCCCGTTGCCACTTCAATTTGCTTATCTTTCGGACTATGTCGATTATTTTGGTTCTTTTGTGGTTTGCCTCTTTTTCGGATTCTATCACACAGCGACTCCGAGCCCTCTTCATAGTCCGTCGAGTAATATGAAGCTTTTGCATACGATCAATCGTGTAGGACCATGTTTCTGTTCCATAAATCATCACTGGCACAACGCAATGGTTAAATGTCTTCAAATTCTGAGGTATTTTGGATGAAAAGATGTGGCGTAATTTTCCGAACGCTGCCCAAACGAGTTGGATTTGTCGGTTGACCTCTCGGTCGAAGTTTGATTTGCCTTACTACTAAAAGGAGTTAAATATATTTATTTTTATTTATTATTTGCTACATGGTTAGATTACATCCTTAGTTTATAATTATAGAATATTCTAATATTCTATAATTATTAAGAACAAATCTACTTTTACATCCAAATTAACCAAAAATTATTATCCTAAAAAACTATAACAGATGTAATATATAAAATATGTTACAAGTTTTTTTAGGGAGTGAAAGGAAATGAAGTTAAATAACTTTATTTTTTTTATTTTTTTTCTATCTCTTTTTTTATTTTGCTTTTTATTTGTATTTTTTGCTTAAGTCGTAGGTTATTAGCAACAATATTTGTAAATGCATCGCCTACTTAAGTTTTCTGCTTGCCTCATGGTTGACTGGTAGAGAATGCCGTTGGGTGTTAAGTCCGCCAAATGTACACTTACTTATATAAATATGCTTTGTTACTTTAAATAAATAATGTTCTATGTACTGGTTCATATGGGCGAAGCCTGGAGATAGAGCTAACTTATATATTTTATGTAATATAAATTATGAAGTTGTATATATTATTAAATTATTATGTTAATAGCGTATTTTTCAATTAAGTCATTCGTTCAGAGTCCTTTGAGATTAATTGAAAACTTGATAGCTTTCCTGTAACAAAGAGCTATTAAAAGACCGATAAAACAAGTTGATCTTATGAATGAATGAATGAAACTTAATACTTACATACCTCCTGTACCAAATTAAATATACTATTAGCGTATTAAATTATAGTATTTTTTTTTGATGGGTGAAAATGGAATGGTAACCCCGCCTGCGCTAATGGGATACGCTGGCGAAGCACCAGTGAAGGGTGAGAGATGAGAATGAAAACAGGCCAGTTAGCCCATCATGATGAATTCATCAGGAATTAACCATGATAGTTTCCAGGGGGAACCGCGAGAAGGTCGACCAGGTTGGGTATATTGCTTTAATTGAATAAATGTTAAATGAGTCATTAAAATTCGAAATGTAATATAAAAAAAATACATCAAAAATGTCAGGCACTTGTCAACAATAAAAAAAGAAAGAAATGTCACTGTCAAATCATGGGCTATTAATAACAGCTGCATTGTAACACGATAAATAATTCAAGTAGGTAGACATTTTTGTATCAAAAACTCTTACACTAAAAAAGTTATAATAACATTATTTGTAAAATATGTATTATTAAATTTGCTTACTTAAGTAGACACCTACAAGTAATAAAAGCAACGTTTTCCGTTATCCACCTCACCCAAAATGTCCGTCCCTGTGCTAAAAGTGATCTAAATGTAATTTTATGGTGTTACATAGTCATGGGAGGCACGGTGTGTGTTAATATTTAAATTAAACTATGAATACCTGGTAGTGTATTATTGAATCTAGACATCATGTCTAGTGGGCGTCCATGAATTATGTAAGCTTGAAATACCTTCGTTTTAGGAGCGAAATCTTATCAAATTACATTTACAGGAGGGGAGACGGTTTGTATATGTGTAACTTTGTATAAATATTAAAAAAATAGACGTTAACCAGTACGCAAAAAGCTACTAAAAAGTGACTCAAAAGCTCAAATGAAAACGTCAGGGTGGAAGGGATTGTTAGTAATGGAGAGGTTAGTCTCCATTGCTATCAATATACCTTATCAGGTCGACTTCTACGCGGTTCCCCCTGGAAAACATCGTGACGAATTTATCGTTGAATTCCTCACGATGGCCTAACTTACCTGCCTTTTCATCGTCACCTATCATCCCTCACTGGTGCACCGCCAGTGTATACCGTTAGCGCAGGCGGGGCTACCATTCCATTACCATCCATAAAAAAAAATGAAAGCATGAGTACGCTAGCTATTTGAATAATAAAAATATCAATATCAATAGGTTATTGAAACGTTCCTAGCGTTAGAGATATTTAATATAACAAATATTTGACACGCTCACCGTACCATGTATTGCAAATACTTTTATATGGAAATCACAGTATATCTAATTCGCCGCACGTTTATATGTTGAAGTGTAGATTTAAGGTTTTACGTCAAATTGTACTTACTTTTATATTCTCTTCTTTATTTTTTAGACTAATGCGATAAGAAGACTAGTGGAACATGATTCTTTTTAATAGATGATAGTG